TATCCATAAGCATTAATAATGTTTAAAAAATTCAGGGAATGTTTCATTCAGATGAGTAAAATCTCAAAATATCTTCTTTAAAAAGTTACACAACATTGGTGCTAGAGAAAAATTATAGCAGGTAGGGCACTTACCTTGCACACAGCTGGCCTGGTTTTAATTCCTAACATCCCACATGGTCTGCAGAACCTGCCAGTAGTGATCCCTGAGCACAGAGCCTCAAGAAAGCCCTGAACACCACCAGGTGTGATCCACAAACAAACAAACAAACAAACAAACAAAAGTTACACAACAGAACTGGAGAGAGCTCAGTGGGCTGAGTGTATGCTTTGCATACAGGAGGGCCAGGCTCAATCCTGCACAGCACAATTTCTGAGTACTGCCAGGAGTGACTCCTGAACACTGTTGAGTGAAGTTCAGAACAAAAAAGTTGCATAATAGCTCCTTTTAAATAGCAGACCCTTCTAAAGAGAAGGGTCTTTAGAACAATAGTATAGCAGGTAGGACTCTTTTCTTACATGCCCTGGCACATTACCTTCTAAAGACCCTTCTAAAGAGAAACTGATTACAGTTCCTTTTTTACTTGAAAAATAGGACATAGTACATAATAAACTCACCAATGGGAAAATTGTACTCTACTGTACTTTCTGCCCTGATAGTACTTACACAAATTTATTTAAAAAAATCTAAACAACTAAAACTTGTGAAAGAGTTCACTTTTAAAAATATGTTTTTATTTTTGGTAATACCCAGTGTTGTTCAGAGCTTGCTCCTGCCTTTGTAATCAAGGGATCACTTCTGGCCGAAATTGGGGAACAATATGGAGTGAAGGGGATCAAGTCTCGATCAACTATGTGCTAGGCAAGTAAATACCTTACCATCTGTACTACCCCTCTAGCCTGAAAGGGTTAAATCTTACATTTGGTTTATTTCTATTTTTCATTAGATCTTTATTTAACATTATCTTCATTGAATGGCAACTAGTATACAAACATTTCAATTATTTGACCTCTTGTTCTTATCTACCTTAAAACTTGTTTAAGTGTTATCAACTCAACTTTTTTACAGTCATTCTAATACGGATATTACCAAAAATTAACTTTACCAGTTACACTTCGATCTGCAGAAAGATGGAGATAATTCTATTTATAAGTCAACAATTGCTGGATTTTCTTTTTGTTCTGCTTCTTGTTCCACACCTGGTGGTGTTCAGGGGCTACTCTCAGTGGTGCTCAGGAGACCATGTGGTGCCAGGGCTCAACTCCAGACCCCCTGCATGCAAAGCATCCACCCTAGCTCTTTGAGCCTTGGCCCAAGAATTGCGGCTTTGTGGTTAGTTTTGAAATCTTTACTTACCCCACCCCACACCCAATATGACATTGTTAATCTTTTCATCAAATTTCCACCAAATATGTTAGACTATTGAAAGCAATTAGCTTTCCTTCTTCCTGAAAACTGATTTTCTTAAGACCGTCTCCTGTTTATTTTCCTATATTCAGGTAAGCACATGGTGCCCTTCCTGGGGCTCCCCGCCCCCCCATACCATCCTTGCTGATCCAAATCAAACAGACCTTCAGAGGGTTCTGACAATGATGTCTTCATTGAATATGATCATGGCTGAAGCTTTAGTTCCTGTTTGCTCTGTAATGTGGTGCCAAGATCTTGGCCTTTAGCAGTTCCCAGAAACCCTGGAAACATTACTTGTTTGTTTGTGAGTATAAGCTTCAAAATGGTTTTGCATCTACAACAAACTCTGAGGAGAAACAAAAGCAGTGGGATCGCTTACTGGGTTGGGAGTTTTTCTTTACGTAGCCACAGGATTTGGAGTCAGAAGAATAGAATTTTAGTTAATACTCTTCATTGGTGCATTTCGAACTATACCAGAATGAAAAGAATTTACTGTTGCAGAATCCATTTGTTTCAAGTTTGGTACTATTCTTCCACTTCTCTCTCCCCCACCCCCAATCTTTAAATTCTGAGGGACCTTGGTGGGAGCTATGATTAAGGGCTCACACTGTTTCACACTTATGGTATACATGTAAAAACCATCCTGTGCACCCGAGTCTGATGACTTAAAAAACTCAGCAAACCAGAAGATAACCCTAATAATCAGGATGAGCTTTACGTAAACTCCATAAAAGCTAATACGTTAACATGGACAGAAAAAAAAAACCCTAATTCCTAATTGAACATTTCATATCATATATTAGCAATTGATTTTTATCTGGGCTGTACAATTAAGAAGAAAAGCATCTAACAAAATGGGTCCTTTGAAAAAACAAAGGAAAGAAGAAAGTTAGCATCCAGGACCAGGCATACTTTCCATCTGAGAGAAGGGCTGAGGGAGGTTTGTCCGAGAACATGGAAGCCACAATCCCCTTTTCCACTTGCCCTCCGGGGTGCGTGCCAGCCTGGGGTTGGGCAGCAGGGCACTGCAGCATGTGGAGAGACAGACAGTTTTGCTGGCTCCCACTTACTCCTCAGGCCAAAGTCCAGGCAGAAGCTGGCCTTGTGGGGTTCCTGTCGTTCAGCCAACCCCTGGCACTCCGGGGACACTGTTAGAATAAAGCTGGCCAAACCCTGCGTGAGAAGTCACCTCCTTTACATTCTCTTCCTGTCGGGGAGTTAAACTAAAGGAAACTCCTTCTGTCAGATTTTATGGTCTTTGTGCACTAGCCAAGGAGAGCAAGAGAAAAAGAGAAATAAAGTCACTTGTTTAACTATACACAATAGAAAGGAAAGAAATCTTCAAAGTATTTGATCTGGGAACAAAGCCCAATGTTCCCAGATCTCAGCTCAGTTTGCTATTCTTTTTTTTTTTTTAACTTACTGATGATTAAAAAAAAGTAATTATAGTCCTTTTTGCTTTGGGCCAACATCACTGACAAGAGAGGAGAGGGAGAGGGAGAGGGAGAGGGAGAGGGAGAGGGAGAAGGAGAGGGAGAGGGAGAGGGAGAGGGAGAAGGAGAGGGAGAGGGAGAGGGAGAGGGAGAAAGAGAGAGAGAGAGAGAGAGAGAGAGAGAGAGAGAGAAGTTCCAAGCCCCAATTGTACAAAGAGAACAACCTGTGCGCCATTTGACAACTGCCAACACACAACATATTCAGATATACAGTGCCACAGGACAGATATCAAATTAAGAGCAGATATTCTCAAAAGAGGTGTTCATTTGCCACTTTTAAAACCACTCATAGGAAATACTACTTTTTCTAAAGCTCCTCTGACATCATGTGTCTATGGGCGCTCAGATGAATAGTCCCACCATAGAGTTAAAATGTTCGGGAACAAACACCATCCTCGAGATCCGCATGTGATCTCTCTCCGTACTGATAGATGATGCATTGCTAGGAGATATTTATTTGAATTTATTGTAGTTTGAAGAAGGAAAGCAGGAATCATAATCTGACATAATTTCTTTCTGCTGGCTAAGCTTCAGACAATTTATCAGTGCTCCCTGAAATTTTACACCACACTGAACTCCAACAGGTTTTTGTTTTAAGGTGCACCAGGTTTGGGGTTCTTCCCTGTGGAGAAGTTACTTTCAAGTCAGTGAAAGTTCTTGGCCCACGATTAAAAGTCTTTGCCAATTAGTACTCAACAACTTCAATTCATTTTTTCCCTGGTTCAAGATGAGTAGGAGCCTAATAAGGCTGTGATAAAAGGGCAAAAGGCACTGAGAGCCAAAAGCGGATTAATGAGCTCCTCCGTTTATTTGTCTTCCTAACAGCTGAACTGTTACAACTATTGACACTCTTCAAAAGGTTCCGCTCTGAACCCTGTCCAGGCACTGCAGGCTCCAATGGACATCTTCAAACCCGCAGAATGGAGGGGCAAGAGCTTCCCCTGTGTGATGCCAAAACCAACAAAGCCCCATGGATCAGGTAATGAAACTTCAGCTTTTCCCCCTTTGAGATTTATTTACTGGCAGCTGACAAGGGGCAAATTCAGCTCGAATTGTGCAGTCAAGGCCCTGTCAAGCTTTTAGAGGCACCCTTGTCTTGAAGCACCTTCATGACTGGCATTTCACTCAAAAGCCCTCGGCACTGGTCCTTAACAGCTTATGACATCACAAAGGACACTCCAGACAGATGCCTACATGGCATCCTGCAGCATTTTAAAAGAGAATTAGTGGTTTTAATTATGGTCGTCGTATGAAAGGGAACCATGCAAGCTCCACAGGAGACCTTTGATCAGACCCTTTTGCTAGTACAATGCCACGGAACTGTGACTATTCCTGGTAAGGGGCCTTTTCTTGCTGAATGACTCACCAGTGATCTTTGAATGCAGACAAGCTTCGAGCCCTCCCTCTTCATTAGTGAGCATTTCTATACAGGGGCCTATATAGTGCTTGGCGTCTAGGAGCTATACAATTGGGGAGAAAGAATCGCTACAGATTCGGGCCTCTACTTAGGAAGTGCTGAAGGACTCTGAGTGACTTTATTCATTAAAACAGGTTGCTATTAATTAACTGTCATAATAAAATAAAGAACTATTATTTGCATTTCTTACTATGTTCTCTTTAGTAATATGTATAAAAGATGCTTGTAACAGAATTGAATTTTTTGAACTACTTCCCCAGGCTCCCCCAGGTGCCCCCCTTCACTTTATTTTTTTTTTCACGTTTTGGCAGCTGGAGTCTATTAATTATTGGGCCCTGATTTATGAGGTAAAGAAGAAGTGTAACATAAATATAAAATTAAGGAGACGCTAAATCCTTTTATACTGGCCAGCTATGCAACTGAAAACATACTAACACAAGTTTGTTTCAGTTTTTAGTGATTTCAAAGAATTATCTAAGACAATAGAACTCCAACTTAAAAAAAAATTCTGGCTGGTATTTATTTAGCTTGAAGTATAAGATTATGTAACAACCACATCTACTTTAAAAAAAAAGCATTCTGACTTGCAGTGTACCACGATTTGATCTTTTTTTCCTTTAAATAAAAAAAATGACCTCATCTCTGGGAAGAAGAGTTTTCAGCTTCGAAATTAGTTTTATTTTTAAGGCTTTAACCTTTAAAACCCACCCCAACACGCAGGGCCAGACTGATGGTGGATTGTGTCAGTCCCTGAAAAACAATTCATTCTTCTTAGAATCTGGCCAAGCACATTCGCTTGATGAAGCATGTGGACGTAGGAATATTTTCTTAGTCAGTCTCACTGTAATACAAATTTGGTCACATGGAAAAAACAGAATTTGCATAAAGAACACATCTCAGTCACCAGTGTTCCACCCCCCTCCCCCTGCTGTGCCAGGTAAGATACTCATGTCTTTGTTTTACACACATTATCTTTTCTTGGAGGAAGAACTTTGGGACTTGGGCATTTTGGAAGCTGAACACTGAGCAGGTTTTTCACATTTTGCTGTCTCAGGCATTTTTCATATTTCTCAGACTCTGCAGTTCTTTTCTTAGGTGCTTTAGAGCCACCAAAATGTCAGCCAGCTGTGGATCATTCTGAGCTCTCTGGGTGTAGAGACGAAAATGTCTGATGGTTTCCGATAACAAAACTTCTGGTGTGGCACGGCTTTCCCCAAGGTGCAGCATCCGCTCGCAGGCGATGGCATAGTTCTTGTGCCAATTCACAGGGTGCTGCCTTTGTGAAGAGACAAGTTCCTTATAAAGCTGGAAGAATGCAAAAAAGTTGCAGGCCACTGTTACCTCTTGACTTTTTTTTCCCCCTCAATGTAACAGAAAACACAGAGGAAGAGGGGTAATAACATGTATGTGAGCACACAGACACACACAGACACACAGACACACACAGACACACACACACAGACACACACACACACACACACACACTCCAAGCAGCCAACAGTAGAAATCTAATCGTTGCTAGGCCATGCAGAAAATTCAAGGATGTTGCTGTAATTATGACAGTAGCAGGAGGCAAATGTGCTTCCTCTGAAACTGCTTCTGGGTTTTCTCGGCAGCTGCAGAGGACCCCTAAGACATACTGTGTCAGTACAAAATGGTCTTCCTCCAGAAAGATGTTCTGGGAAAGGGATTTAGTTCTAATTCACAGAAAGCTATTTACTCAACAGGCAGGAAGGCTGAAACTCTAAATTTAGCTGTAGGAGAAAAAAAAAATAGCTTTCTTTAGAAAACTGCATGGAAAACGAAACTTGAAGGGATTTAAATTTTGTCTCATATTTTCACATAAATGTCTCTCTACATTAAAAACAACAGTAGTAAGAGTAGCAACAAAATAGAGGTTCTGAAAATCCCATCATCAATGAAGCTGGGTGGAACAGAGCTTTGGGGACTCCTGAAAGGGACACACTTAAAATCATCACAGGAGCCCAGGATTACAATTTTGGTCAGCTAAAGCTGCTCGCAAGACTTGGGGTTTTTGTTTTTCGACATCAGAAACTAGTCACTGGACAGTTAGGATTTGAGATACTGGGCTTTTTTCAAAAGGGGAAAATATTCAAATTAAATCAATGAAGAAGTGGTCACCAATATGCAAAACTGAATATTAAGCTTTTTATTATGCTGATTGGGGAATTTCATAGCCTTACTGGGAACTGTCATATTAGAGTCAGTTCTATTGGAAATTGTGACTCCACAGTTGGCAAGGACGCGTTCCCCAGGGATCATGCTCTTTGAGTCACCACTGCATCCATACCCGTTGTTCAATGGAAGGGACCTCACTGGCATCCCTGCGGCTCCTTCTACTCCAGAGCAAAAAGCTGTCTACCCCATCTAGCCTATGAGAATCCCCCAGAAAAAAGTAACACAACCCAGGTTTGTTATGAAAATCGGGTTAGTAATAACCATGAGTCTTCAAGATGCTTTCTGAAGCCAATCCTCCCCTTGGTTTCCTTCATTCCATAAATGGCAATCACCAGGCATTTTCTTTTCATTTTGGGGCCATGCCTTACTCCATGCTTTGTGCTTAAGGGATCACTCCTGGCAGGGCTTGGGGAACTATCTATGGTGTCAGGGATCAAGCCCTGGTGAATAAACTCAAGGCAAGTGCCTTACTTGCTGTACTATCTCTTCAGCTTTGGGGCAATTTTCATACACATCAAAGCTATCCAGCCAGTCTCCTGTCCTTTATTGTCTCAGTGGAATAGTCCAAGTTTCTCTCCCTTTCCCGTTAGCCTTCTTCCTTTCTCCATCTCTCCACTTTGCCTCCACCAGAGCTTCCTTAGGGCACAAAAGGACAGGCACAGGGCATGCTGCCTAGCACAAAGAAGGTGCCTGGACAATGCCAGGTGCTTCATTTCCCGAAGGTTCAAACCCCCACTGAGTTGGGAGTTCAAATGGACGTTGACTCTTTAGAACACAGGTGCGCTCCTGACCTTTCTGCTCCAGACTTGGGCATTAGAATGGCCAGAACCCCCTGTCACTGACTCGTCAGCATTCCAGTCTAGCTGAGTTAGCCACATACTGTAAAGAGAAGTGGTTATTTCTCACCATGGGGAGTCCTATTTCCTCCTCTGCCTGTATTACTGGGCCCTGAGTCTACTTACTGAAAACATAGTCAATTTACCAAGAGTTTCCTAAGGATAAAAGGGATTGACCACCCTCGTACTACCTCCAAACTCAGTAGCATCGCTAGAACCTGATTTTCTGAGTGGGATAATAGAAATACTAACAAAAATACCCTTTACACCTAACAACAACATCCTTGAAAATTCAGCCCTGGTCTCGCTGACACACACCTGGGAGACTGAATGAGACACCTGCAGGCTGTGCTAGAGTGACCAGGACTCACAGGGACTCCACATTCAGGAGTTAGGAGCTGCCTCACACTGAGCAGGCTAGTGAGAAAAGTCTGAAACATCTGTTAAGTCTCAGTTTTCTTCTCCTTAGTCTTGGTTTTTCAAAGAAGCTCAGAATATCAGAGGTAAGTAGGACAGGAGGGGAACAGGAATGAGAGATGATCTCTAAGTTTATTTTATTTTTTTGTTCTGGGCCACACCCGGTGATGCTCAGGGGTTACTCCTGGCTCTGCACTCAGAAATCACTCCTGGCAGTGCTTGGGGAACCATATGTAATGCCAGGAATAGAGCCCATATAGGCTCCATGCAAGGCAAATGCTCTACCTGCTGCACCATTATTCCGGCCTGGATCTCTTAAGTTTAAAGCCTGCTTTTTTACTTTAAAGGGAAGCTTTGAGGCCTAGGAAGGTCACCGAGTCAGGAATAGGGCCTTAAATCTGGGCTGTCAGAGGCTGCTCTTACAAAGATGCGCCAGTAGGCACTTGGCTGTGCCATCCTGGGCTTCCCACGTGTGCCCCTCAATGCCTCAGCTGCTGCCCCGTGTCTGACCTGCTCCTCTTCATCCTTCAAGCTGACTCAGTGACATCTCCCCAGAAAACCTCCATGGCACCTCTGCCACTGCTTCCACCACCCACAAGGTCCAACTGAACTCAGCACTCATTCTTCTAGCTCCCTCTCGAGCCTTCTCCTCTGAGAGCTGGAAAGAGGCTTTTCTCCACCAGGCGAGCTGGCACAGATGGGGCACTCAGAAAATACTGGGCATGGCACAATAAACAGATCACAAGAAAATTTCAGAGGTAAAGCAGCTCATCCTTGGCTATTTTGACATTTCACCTCCTAACAACAGCCCCGAAAGAGCAGAAGCCCCCTGCACTGTCCAACCACTCGGCTCATGGCTCTGTTTTCCTGGATCCTGGCTGGGCTACTGCTGCTTCTGTGTCCGGAGCCCAGACTATCTCTGATGTGCCTGAGAAGCCCAGGGCTGGAAGTCACAGAAATGCGGGGAGTACAACCATGGCGATTCTCTCCCCTGTCTGTCCTCAGCCTGTCTGAGAGGACAGTGACAGAACCCTGGGTGTCTGGGTGTTTAGAAGGCTGGGTTGACTTCTGTGAGCACAGAAGATAGAGTCAGTCTCTGGAAACTTCGCCTTTTCTCATGAAATCTCAATCACAGCAAGGGTAGAGGGCTCAGACTTGGGCAGAGAGAACAGCCTGCCAGATTGGTTTGTGGCTTCAAATGCTCCCATTTGCTGTGATGACACATCATCAGAAATGTTGTGGCTTGGAAAATGAGCACTGGTGGAGGGATGGGTGTTTGATCAATGTACAATTGAAACCCAAGCACAAAAATTTGTAAATCTACAACTGTACCTCATGGTGTTTCACTAACAAAAATTTAAAAAAAATGTAAATGACAGAGAATGGGCACTGGTGGAGGGATGGGTACTGGATCATTGTATAACTGAAACTCAAGCACAAAAATTTGTAAGTCTCCAACTGTACCGCACGATGATTCACTAACAAAAATTAAAAAAAAAAGAAATGTTGTGGCTTAAAACAACATAATAGTGGAGGCTGGAGAGATGGTACAGGAGGGAAGGGACTCGCATGGCGTCAACCTGAGTTCATTCCCTGCATATGGTCCTCCTGAATCCTTCCAGGAGTGATCAAAAAACCCCAGAACGAAACAACCACAAACCTATAGCATACATTAATTATCTTATTCTTCTGGAGGTCACGAAGTCATGGCACCTGATCCTATGAAACTAGCAGAATTCTGCATCTCCAGAAAGTTCCTGAATCTATCCTGGCCCTTTCCAGCTCCCTTAACTGAGGCTCCTTCCCCCTATCTCCCAGACCAGTATCTTCGGCAGCTTCTCTCTGATCTCTCCTTGTCATGATGATTCCTGACTCCCCATTTGCCCTGACAAGGAACCCTGTGATATTAACTTATGTAGATTATTCAAGATAAAAGTCCCTGTCAGGAGATTCTTGACTTAATCACACCCAAAGGTCCCCTTTGCCATGTCCTTATATATCCAGGTCTTCAATATTAGGACACAGACATCCTTAGGAGCAGCTGTTACTTTGCCAACCACAGTTGACAACACATTAGAGGCTATTTGTGTACCATGTGCACCACACATTAGATACATAAAGGAATTTTTTCACAGTCCTACTTTATAATACTCAATAAAACCAAAAAGAAAAAAGTCCCTTTCCTTTGCCAATCCCCCCTTCTCTCTAACCAAGTCATTACCACCATCCCAAACAAATCTATTCGTGTGTATATGAAGCATAACCTACGTTATATGCATGAGTGTAGAATTCAGCTTTTACAGTCACAGGCATGTTAGCAGATTCTGCCAAGCTAAAGATGAAGAAGGGGGTTTTCATCCTGGCACGGAGACAGAAGGAATTAAAATTAAAATCACATCCATACCAAGTCCTTTACTATGTCATTTTCACCCTCACATTCATAGAAGTTTATGCAAAACCAAAAGCAACACCTCTTTCCCGCCTCAGCCAAGACACTGCATTATCCATTGATGGCCAAATCTTTTAGCAAGAACCTTGTGCATATTTCCACTCTTCTATATCATGTGTGATCATGCATGTATGTCACCATAATGCAGGAGCAGCTGGGAAGCGGAGGCCTTGCCAAGTTTGTCAGCATGTTCCTGAATGATCTCAGTGTAAATGCTCTTGCCATGTCTGACCAGTTCTTCAAAGGTGGCTGGACCCTCTGACCACATGAGCTTATCCCTACTTGTACTGAACACACAATTAAATTGATACCTGATTGGATAATGAGCAACTTTCTTCTATTACATGATCTCCTGTAGCTTTCCCACATTCAACCACAGTGAAGAACTGTACAAACACACTGATCAAACTTTTTGACCAGTGCTTCAAAGCAAGTATCTACCCCTATAACTTGATCTAGGGATAAGACTGATAGCTTGAACTGCACAGCCTTCAAAACACTACTACCTCATACTTAGTTTTGTGATTGCTATTCTGGAGCTGACTTTTTCAGTTTTCTAAGAGCCTCTTTATAATCACATAAGTCCTTATGTCTCTTCATGTAAGTATGGGTCCTTACATAAAGGGGGACACAGAGGGGGGATTGGTACATTATTGAGGAAGGAAGGACTTCCGCTGTACCTGCAACCCATGTTTGTGTCATTCAAACCACTTACAAGCCTACTTAGACCAAAGCTGGTTAGTGTTAGGTACTTGGATTGTTTAAAAAGAATGACAGAACACCATGAAGTGACCCCCCGCATGAACAACAGGAAAACTTTAGCATTTAGCATGTGAACTTTCAAATTTTGGAGCCTCATGAGGAGGAGCTGTGCAGTTTTAATGCAAGTGGTGTCTCTGTCAGTGTGGTATCAGAGTCTAGGAAGTATTCAATAAGGGATGAAAGCATGAACGGCTACATTACATGTAGATACGGGGCCATCATCGACTATGAATCGCTCAGTGATACTCCCACAGGCTGAGCCACATCAGGACAGCACAGACCCAACGAGCACCCCTGGGTGACACAGGCGCCTGTTTTGGGCTCTCATTAGCAGCACTGTGGCCTTGACAAGCCACGGCTCACCCCGGCTCGTTCTTTGGTAAAATGGGATGATCCTAACTTCTCATAGGAGGGTGTGAGGATGAAAGGGGACCATATGTGTACAATGATCACCAGTATCTCAAACAAAATAATGGCTCACAAATGTTATTTTCTGTCTCACCATTCACTCTCCTCCCCACTCCCCAAATGAAAGCATCACAGGCTCTTTCCCTGGTTTACTAAAAACCAGAGTGCCAACCCCAAAATGTAGACTCAGTCACCTTGCTTGCCACATCTCTTCATTGGCCACAGATTCCCAAGAAGACGAAGCAAACCTAGAATTACAAGAAAACAGTGACATTTTTCTGTTTAGGAGTCAGGAGGGGGCGGACAGGGAGGGCTTCCTGGCTTCCATACAATCACATGACCCGTGTTTTATTAGGCCAATAACAGATCTTGAAGTACTGAAAACAAAACAATTATTCTCCTGGAAATGTGCCACCACTGGGAATTTGGCAAATGTGTTTTTAATTTATATTTTTGCAGTGTTAGGGCACAAACCTCGTCCTTCTGACAGGCCAGAGATGCACTCAACCACAGCGTCACATCCCTGCCTCATGATACATGTGTCTAGCATGATCAATGGAGAGGCTGGAGACATCTGGAGTCTGCTGTTATTACAAACTCAGATGGCACTAGAGTGGGGTGAGACCTGGGTCACTCTGTGGACACAGGTACTACCAGCCAGTGAATATAAATCCAGGGCCAAGGGGGAACAGATGGGAAGGGCAGGCTGGCTTCCACACAGGGTGGGAGTGAAGAGGCAGCTCTAAGAATGCTGTCACAATCCAATACACCAACTTCTTCCCCCTTGTGAATAGAATCTCCCTTACAGGTCTGTTGGGACTGAATGGAGACCAAGAATGGTGTATGTATGTGTGTGTGTGTGTGTGTGTGTGTGTGTGTGTGTGTGTGTGTGTGTGTGTGCATGCCTGCTGCTGTGAGCTGTCAGGAGAGCTGGTGATATTCTATCTCTCCCTCATGACAGGGATGGGATGGGTATTACAGAACCATTATCCAGCTCTGTTGTGGCACAGCTTTGTGGTTCGTTTACTCCTATCAGTTGAAAAGAGCTTGTGGCATCCTCCCACACCCTTGTGCCCCCAACCCCCACACTCCATACCCTGTGGGTTAGCCTGCTGTTCTTGAATTATCAGCAGTAGGTTATTTAATCTTTAAATGGTTTGTGGGGACTAGGGAGATGGCTCAAAGGGCCATGGCACTTGCTTTGCAAACAGGAATCCAGGGTTCAGTCCCAGGTACTCTGTGGTCCCCTGAGTACCACAGATATGTGGTCCCCAAAACATAAACAGTGTTCACAAGTTATTATTTTGTTTTTGGGGCCATACGTGGCAATGATCAGGACTAACTCCAGGCTCTGTGCTCAGGAATCACTAAGGGTTTGGGATCCATGTGCGGTGCTGGGGACTGAATCAGGATCAGCTATGAGTAGGCAAGCAAGCACTTTACCTACTCTACCCTCTGGCCCTTAAATATGTACATAATTTTAAAAAACACGCCATGGAGGCAATAACTCACTGTTTATATGGGAGAAGGTCAACTCTTACGTGAAAAGGCTCTGAGGAGAACCAGCCATGCCCCAAAGTCTGTAACTAGACTGAGGACAAACTGGGTAGGAAAAGTTTCTCAGGAGACTTTCCTTCCTCCGGACCACTCACCTGCCACTCTTGAGGAATAAGAAAGAGGGTAAGTTTCTGCACGAGTGGAAACTTTCCTGGGTAACAGAGGGCTTTCCAAGCTCCACTGCAACCAGTGAGTCCCTTTGTGTTGAGAGTGAGAAACAGGTTGGGGAATAGCTACAGGGAAGGGTGGAAGAGGATGATGCTGGTGCTGGACCACTGCGGTGTCCACTCTACCAGGCCTTGCTTTCCTGTCCCCTCCTCACTGCTCTTCAGACATAAGGGCAGGAAAGCCATCATTTTCTTCTCCATTTATAATACTTGATGGGCAACCAGTAACAACATGAACAATTCATAAAGAAAAAGAACAAAATTGAAAGGCATTTTAAAATTTTGTGACATATTTAAGGCACAAAAATCTTCTCTGATGGGGCTGGAGCGATAGTACAGTGGGTAGGGTGTTTACCTTGCTGCATGCAGCCAATCCAGGTTAGATTCCCAGCATCCCATATGGTCCCCTGAGCACCGCCAGAAGTAATTACTGAGTACAAAGCCAGGAGTAACCTCTGTGCATTGCTGGGTGTGACCCAAAAAGCAAAAACAGAGAAACAAACAAAAAACAACCTTCTCTGATGCGCAGAACAGTTCTTCTTACCTTCCATACTCTTCAGTCCAGTTATAGATATTTCTTGTAAGTTTTATCCATTTCTCAGGATGGAACACATTCTCCAAAGGAACAAATTTGTCACAAGAACCCCATGGCCAGAGTGAATATTTCTTCTTCCAAGTTGGGTCACCTTCATGAATTCCTATACAAACAAAGGTTTCTTTTCTATTAAGAGAAAACAAAATGTTTTTGACTTCAAGGTAAATAAATAGAAAAATCTCTCTGAGCAATCTAGTAACATTTTGCAGACAGGTTCTACATCTCTGAATTAACTCTGAATTCCACATAACATCATCTATAGCTAACCCACAATATCTACTGAATCAAAATAATTTGATTTGAAGGGTTTTTAGAAACTTCAAGTCCCACAGAAATTTTTAATGGAATGGTTTAGACAAGTCTGATTCAACAGCATTAAAAATTTAATAAACCAGTTCTCATGTGTAGTATCTGTCTTAATAGGCATCTCTAAGTAGGAAAAAAAAAGGCATATACTGAGAAATTACTTAGGGTACAAAAACTTTCCTCTACATTGAAACAAGGCACTTCTGACTAGGATTTTCCCTGCCATTTATGATCACCAGGACTTGGGGGAAATTACTTCACTAGTTGTGCCAGTCTCTGCATCTGTGAACTGGGTGTCACTCTCAGAGCTGTTTAAGATGAAATGCAGCTTCTGATGCTTGGAACTGAGTGTGATTTCTAGGACAGATGAAGCGAAAACATGCTGCCTTGCCTCTCTGGCTGCAGGCAACTAGGATTTCCAGCAAGACTAGAGGGAACAACTATTGCAGACTCTGAAGAGGACAAGCTAAAAATCAGATGGGGGCAGAAAAATCAGAATTCTCAGTTCCACCAAATCATTTCCCCCTTCCCCTTTTACTTGGCCCGGACAGAAAAGAACTTTGGCACCCAGAAGTGCAAGCCAAATGAGGACAAAAAAGAGGTCTCAGGAAAGCCCTCTTTCAATGCTTGTTTGTTTATTTGTTTATTTGCCCCTGGGGAGTAAGAAAGGGATCTGCTGAGGGTTGGCGGGGACTGAGAGGCTCTCCTGGATTTCCCCCTGGTATCAAGAGGTCATACTGGGTGGCCACAGAGGCAAGCAGCAAAATAAAGGTCCTCCTCAACACCAGGACAAAAGCTTAGCATGGTACTATTATCAGTTTTCTAATCATTGAATTAATAGCCATCACTCAACTAAAATTTTAAAGTTAAAAACTCCCCCTTCCCGCTGTATCCCTACTCCCAGTGGAGCTGGTTTCTACAACCATGAAGGAAGAGACACATCTTAATCAGAAGAGCTGTGTTGTAGGCCCCTAGGGCAAAGAAAGCCCCATGGTTCTCTGTCTCTTTGCACCCCCACAGTGGTCCCAAGAGTAGACATGGCCACTGGCATGGCTGTGGCAGAAGGAGAAAAGAAATTCCAAATTGGTAGGCTAGAGAGTCAGAAAGGAGGGCTCCGTGACCTGCAAAGTCCCGGGGTGAACCGGGAGAAAAGAGAGATCAAGAGAGCAACCTCAATATATATCATAGTGTTCACTCACCAATTTTGAGAGGGGTGAAGAAGGGAAGGGTGAGCGCACAAACCCATAAAGTTGTGGATAAACAACATGAATAACAGGCTCATCTCTCAGCTCAGCACAGATGAAGCGGACTCAAAAGAAAACTTGAAATAAGTCATAAACTTGAAATGTCATAGGACAGACCATGACCTTGATCCTGGGCTGGCTACTGGGTACAACTCAGTTCAGACACATGGCAAGTACTTTGGAAACAAGAACAATATTGGAACCAGTGGAGAGAAGGCAGCAGTGTGAGATTAACCTTAAGTTTTCTACATTTCTCTTGAACTGGTAAAATATTAAATCTAGGTAAACTGTGAAAACATTAAGTATGTATGTAGACCCCCAATCCCTAATCTACCACTAAGATTTTTCTTTTTGTTTTGTTTTTTGGGTCATACCTAGTGATGCACAGGGGTTACTCCTGGCTCTGCACTCAGGAATTACTCTTGGCAGTGCTCAGGGGACCATATAGGGTGCTGGGAATCAAACTCGGGTCGGACACATGCAAGGCAAAAATGCCCTACCCACTGTGCTCCAGCCTCAAGATTTTTTTTTTTTACCAAGACACAGGATAAAATCTCAATAAATAATTTAAAATTATTTATTTTAAATAATATCAGTGTATTGAGGATCAATGTAGGAATTCCAAGCTCCTCCCCTGCAAGCAAACAGTCCCCAATGTTCATGTGGGCCAAGCCTCACTCCAGCAGTTCTGCTCTCTGAGCTCTCTGGGGCTGCCAGGAGTTTCTGGTCAAATTCCAGTTAGGTTTGTGGAAGCACCACAAGAGGGTCTGACCTCTGGTAAGCACCTCATCTAAAAAGATAGGCAGGTACCCTGGCTGGGAAATGTGAGCACTGGTGAGCATGCGTAGCAGCACAGTCACCCATGGTGAGCACTTTAACTAAACAAGTGAGCACTGCAGCTAGGAATGTGTGTGACTGTCAGTCACTGCAGTAACAACATCAAGAGCAACAATAGGTAGGGGTGAGTAAGTTTTTCAAAAAGAGAATAAGAGGCAAATAATAAAATAGTAGATATGTGCCCATGCTTATCGATAATTGAATTAGCATGGTTATTTTAAATATACAACGAAAAGAGAGACATTGTCAGAGTGAATAATAAAACAAGATCTAAATATATGCTGTCTACAAGAAAACCAATTGAGATGATTAAAAGCAAAAGGATAAAAAAGATATACCACGAAAATACTAATCAGATTGAAGTTAATTAAAAATGAGAGAATTTTTCAGTAAATACAGAAAAAGTTATAAGTACAATTCTATAAAGAATGAACAATATTTTAACAGATTAATACAATTTGATAACTATATGACAAAAACCTTGTCCTATACTATGCCCTTATAAAATTTAACTCAAAACGAATAACAGATTTAAAATGTAAAACATAAAATTATAAAATTTTACATGAAAACATGCAAAAATATTTGTGAGTGAGCATTAGAAAAGATGTATTTTTGTTTTGTTTTGTCTTGGGACCATATTTAATGGTGCTCAGGGGTTACTCCTGGCTCTGTACTCAGGAATTACTCCTGGTGGTACTTGCAGGGCTGGGAGACTATCTGGGATGCTGGGGATCAAAGCCTGGTCAGTTGATAACAAAGCAAGCCCCCTACCTGCTATACTATCTCTTTGACTCGGGAAAATGTTTTCAGATATTATGCATAAAAGGAGAAATGCCAAGCCTGAAGAGATAGCTCCATGAGTTGAACACGTGGTCTGCATGCTGAAAGCTTGAATGCAATTCATGGCACCACCTGGTTCCCAAAACACTTCAAAGGGAAATCCCCTAGCACAGGGCCAGGAGTAGCCCCAAACTGTGGCAAAGTAAGGCTGAAGCAGAAAAAAAAAAATTCACAATAAAAGAAGGAAAAAATTCCAACTGTATTTCATCAAAATAGAAAATGTTTTAAAGTTATAAATGTTTCCTCTTGCTGAGGATCTCAGACCAGGAAGGGGGTCAAGGTCACATATTCCCCCCCTCCCTTGGGGCGCCAGGAACAATGATTATAGGCTGCCCTATTGCCAAAATATTATGCTTCTGTAATCTCTTGATGTCGATTCTACAAGTAGAGCAAGTGAGATCCCATGTGTGAGACTCCTGCAAAGCCACTCTCCCCCCATTTTTCCTTATAAATTACATATTTTACACAGGATTTGCATGTAAAATATATGAAGAACTCCCAAGAGCTCGGGAGATGGCTTAAAGAACTGGATCAAATACTTAGCAAGTGGGAACACTGGGCTTGATCCCCAGCACTGTAGGATTTCCGCCCTCTACAACCCCTCCCCGCAAAAAACAGTTCCAATACTGGCTGATTCTCACACACACAAAAATAGAACAAAAAAGTGACTTTCAAAGCTCAACAGAAAGAAAACAAAGAATCCAATCTTTCCAATTCAATATCCAATATATTTCTAAGCGTGAAAAACACAGTCAGACACAAACCTATAGATGAGTGTCTATAGCAGCTCTATTCACAGATGTCCCCGCATAGAAATGACCCAAATGTCCTTCAGCAAATGAATGGAAAAAGTATGGCACTCCAGATGAAAGGATACTACCCGACAATAAAAAGAGATGAACTATTGATTAACCCAACTATTTAGATGGATCCTAAAGGCATTTTGTTATGTAAAATATATCAGTATCACGAGGTAATATAATCTATAAATCCACTGAATGGCACTCCGGAAAAAGTAAAGCTACAGAAGAATTGGAGAAGAGATGAGTGATTATGAGGATTAGGGATCTGCAGTCAGTATTAGACATGAGCCAGTAATTCCACTCTATTTATTTATATGAAGAATATGGAAACACTGAATCAAAATGATATAGAAACTCCTCTGTACACTGTAGTACAATAAGTAATAAGAAAAAATTCTAGTGCCTGATAACAGATGTCTGCATAAAACAGACATATATACATACATATATATGTATATATGTGGTCATATATACATACATATATATGTATATATACATATACATATATATATATATATACACACACACACAATGGTTTACCACTCAGTCATAAGAGTTTGCCATTTGCAAAAATCAAAAATGAACTTTAAGCTCACAAATGAATATTGGAAAAGAGTAACACACTATAGAGATGTCTCCCCACCTTATGTCGGGCTGATATTATCTGGGCATCTTGGAGTGGGGCAAGTGTGTCCCTCTACCTGTTCCAAAAGAACCCCGGCCACAAACCTCCAGAACCTAATCACTGCCATGCTCACAGCCAACCTTCATAGGCTCACTCCAAGCCTCCCATGCATGAGATTGAATCCATTGAAAACACTGTGTGGGACTTGTGACTGAAATCTCCAGGCTTCTGGACTTAGGAATGGGCCCCCTCTACCATCTCCCTGCACTTCCGCTTTCCTGGCAGTCACACCCACGAACTGTCTCTGGGTGCCATTTAAGTGCATTAATGGCCATGATCCAGAGACCCACAAATGAATCTCAGAAGAGATTAACACACCGCAGAGATGCCTCCGTACCACCCAAATCATCATCCAGTTAAAAAAAATATTAACTCTAGTTCTAGAATCCTATGGAAAAATTTTAGAATTCCAGGAGTATGCAGTCTTTTCCACAGCCATGTGACATCTCATACTCTATGCCACTGAAATACCAAGAGTAACATACCACAATTGATAGAGTGTAAGGTAGAAGACAACCAATCTTGATAAAAAATGTATATGTACATAAATATGTATGTATATTAGTAGACAAGACTCAAACTTTAACATGTTAATCATCTCTAACATAAGGGCATGATGGCTCCAAGATGAGATACAACAATTTTCACACACTTTCCTCTAAGAAAACCTTTTTGGATCACTATTAGTCAATTACTCATACCAAGCAATACAAAATAAACTATTTAGCATCTGCCTTTGGGGCAGGCTTGGGTAGTGGTGGGAAAATTTGAAATAATAGTGGTGGGAAGGTATAACAGTGGTGGGGTTGGTGTTGAAATATTGAATGTAATCAATTACTGTGAACAATACTTTGAAAATAAAATTTAAAAAAAATTAAAAAAAGAGAATGAACTTTAAGGGGATTGTTCTATGTTAAATAATTCAGAAGAAATTAGTGATATCACTCATTTGTGAGATATAAAGAAACAAGCAAATGAACAAAGCAAACAAAAAATTCTTAGATTTTAACAACGGAATGATTACAGAGAGATGGTGTGGGGGTGGGGGGCGGGGCGTAGGTAGGTGGAAAAAATAGAGGGGATTTTATAGTTGGTGGTGAAATGAGGACTGGACTTCTGGTGGAGAGTGTGATGAATCTAGTTACTGAGTTGAGAAACCATACATTGGTAACTTAAACAGTGTTGTAAAGTAATATCTCAATTGAAAAAATGAATGGGGGAGTCAGAGAGATTGTACAGCAGGTAAGGCACCTCCTTTACATGCAGCCAACCTGGGTTCAATCCCTGGCACCACATATGAACTCCTGAGCACCACCAAGAACCGTCCCTGAGCACAGAGCCAGAAGAAAGCCCTGAGCACAGCTGACTATTACCCTAAAAACAAAACCAAAGGATGAGATCCTGAAATGATGGTGGTAGACTAGACTGATCTTTTTAGTCTTGTCTGTTTTGATTAGTTTCAATGAGCAACATACAATAAACTCATGAGGCAGGTTTCATCTGTGGCTATAGGGCAAAGCCATTCAGGATCTGGGTCCACCACCTCTCCGTATGACCCCTCTCACCCTGCCACCTAAGTACTGGGTTCCGTACACAGCAAGACACCAGTTACCCCTGAGTCCAGCAGGAAGCAGCTGCTTCCCCTCTTCTTGGAAAACTGCTTACCATTTAGGACCCTGTCATTTCCTCCACACCAATGTTATCACATTAACTAGATACTGTAATTTGTCTGTTCAATGTGTGAGGCATCATCTGAAGCCCTCTCTGAAATATAGTAGCAGAAATCATGCCCACATATCTGTAGCCAATAGGCAGTATATTCTGGACACCTGGCAGTTAATAAATGTTGAGTGAATGCTCCAGACAGAATTCATTATTTCTTCATCCATGCTTCTAGAAAAAAGTAGTACTTTATACTGTCAATTGAATCACTCATTCAGTAAATGCATTAAACATTTAGCACTAAAATATATTAAATCTTTATTGTGTCTCAGTAAAGTGGAGAGTTTTTGCTAATGGAAAGTTTATTCTGTCATATTATGACGACTAGTAGTGAATGTACATACATTTTACAACTATATTGTGGTCTACTTGAATCCGAAACAGTTTTACGTTAGTGCCAGGGTCCAGAATTACTAACAAACTGGAATATAGTAGACTCAATAAAAAATTGTGAGGTTGAATTAAATAAAATTCACCCAAAAAAGGGCATCTTATCTGGAGAAGTTAATGGTTCTTACTATTTTATTCCAAAATGGCACAACCAAATGTTACTCTTCCACCACACATTATATCTATCCTTTTGTAAGATTTCATGAGCACAGAAAATGTCATGTTCTGAACACAGAAAGTACCTCATTACTATGTTCCCAGTAAGCGATAATTTAATTTTGGAATTTCCAAAGAATTTCTGAAGTACTGCTTATAAGTACTGCTTAAAAATTAAGAAATAAGGTTTTTTTTTTTTTAAATGTAGGAGTACTGCTCTTTATTCAGCCACTGATTAGGCTGACTGAATTGTGCATGAATTCTACCTTACTTTTTTTCCCCCATTTTTTATAATTTTATTTATTTAATCACTGTGAGAGCAGTTACAAAGCTTTTGGGTTTAAGTCTTGGTCATACAATGAAACACCCGTATCTTCACCAGTGCCCATTCTCCACCTCCCAAAACCCCTGTATATCCCCATCCCACACCCTCCCCCTACCTGTGGGGCAGATGATTTCCAAATTACTCTCTCTCTACTTTGATTATATTCAATATTTTGACACCACACCCACCATTATTATTTGGGATTTTACCCCAACACTCAGATCTGCCAAAAAGGCAACAGTAAGACTATTTGTTTTCCATTGCTGGTTATGAATAACATATGTCGCGTGGTTGCAGTTGTGGTCGTGTGATTTTGAAATTCCGAAATTTTAACAAATCTGGAAGAAATTCTTGCCAGAACTTGCTGGGTTCCGAGATTTGTTCCTGAGTATCTAGGATCATGGCAATTAAGTAACTTGATCAGGAGCCAGAGAGGCTGTTTGTGGGTGGCGACTTGAGGTCTCGTTGGAACGGGGAGGGAAGGACTGGCTCCACCCCCATCCTGTGAGGCCCCACGTATCTAGTCACTGCGGGCCCAAACCTGACTGTCCAGTGGCCTCTGGAGGATGGTGGCCACTGGGCCGCCAGGAGGATCAGGCCAAGACACAAAACCTATTCCCACTTGGGATGGCCTAGCACTGGTAGCATACTGCAGGGACCGGACTCATTTCTGCCAAGAGTTGTTGGGTTTTGAGATTTGTTTCTGAGTCTCTGGGATCATGGCCGTTAAGCAGTTCAATCAGGAACCAGAAAGGCCATGCCTCAAATTATATAGCTGAGTCGGAGGTGGTTTGTGGGTGTGTCTCCCACATACATAATTTTTGGCCATTTGTTTTCTTGCTAAACTTTGCCCCAAGTTTTTGGGGTCTGTCCAAAGGCACAGCAGCAATTCTGGGGGTATCTGAAAGTCTGAAGGTGCCATCAGGCTGCTGATGCACTCACCTCACAGGTACAGATTGACCTGCTGGCGGCACCATACTCCCACTGAAATAAGGTTTTCTTCTTTATACTCTGGACAGTCCTAAGCATTTCATAGACAGGAGAAATGTTCAGCAATGTACCATTGAAGTAGTTATTTAGTCTTGACCTTAACTATGAATGAATTTATGTTTCAAGTGTAGAATCCAGCATTCTCACGTTATCTCAGCCATCATAGCCATAGGTGTTTTTCTTATTTATAAAAATGTCTTATTTCTTATTATAAAACTCCTTAAGCTATTTTTACATAGTGATTATTCCTGGAAAACATTTGCTTTCCACTTTAAAGAGTGCCACAGTGTTGATCAGGGGGAAACGATAATTGCTTGCGATCCATCTGCAACGGTTTCAAGTAGGCAGGCACATCCCCATTTTCTCTGAATTGCACTAAGATCTTATTTGCTATTCTTGTTAATCTGTCTTTATTTTTTCTTTACCCAGAACAATAACATTTATTTCTGTCTGGCCTCATTTATGCACAGATATGCAATTTAATTACAAAGATAATCTCACAAGTGACAGGGAAATAGGTGTAGAAAATTGGTCTTTTGGATGAAGCACAGCTGTACATAAACAATTTTAGAAAAGCTTAAGACTTTAGAAAAGCTATTATAGGAAAAGAATGCTTACTGTTTATTTATTTCAAGAAAATGATCAAGATTAAATGTGACCATCCCACCAGGTAATATTCCTTCGACAGGATTCCACCGGTTCCCAGGAAAGTTGACACCTGGTAAATGCTTTGCCATCTTAGGTAAATACCACTCATAAGTCATCATCTGTCAGAAAAATAATATAAAAATAAAAATAATATAATAAAAATTATACAATGTCAAGCTTTTAGTGAATTTCTTTGAAAAGAACCAAGCTTATCAAATATAATAACTAAATTATACGTAAAATTATTAAATATATAATTGACTATATATGTAGCTATATGTAAATATGTGTATATATGTATATATACATGCACACACACAAATATATAGTTTGATCAAGGTACATGGCTCAACTTCTCTATGATTTAAGCTTTGGGTTTCATCTCCTAAGCTCTGACAATTATAGAATACCCCAGTTTCCTGTTACTTTCATGCATCTGAAGAATTACTCAGAATGTCCTTCTTCCTTTACTATACCCAGAACTTGTGTATTCAAGCTTCATAATCTGCTTACATATCCCTTCTTCTGGGATGGCCTCCTGGCTTTCCGCAGTGAGAATGTTATGCTCCTACAGCACTTTGCAGGACCCATAGATACAGTGTTAGCTGATTTCTTCCTAGACTGCCAGCTCCTAGAGAGAGGGGACTGTGTGTTCCCATCTCTGGGCCTTAGCACTCAGCAAATCGTCTAGTATAGAACAGTGCTCACATTAAGTTCGCTGAGGTTAAAATGTCTTTGATAACATTATAGGCAAAATATAGAAATGTCATTATTCTCCTCATGCATTAAAATAATAGTAGTTTGTCTTTAAAGAAGAAGATATAACCCCTTACCCTGAAATACTCCTTTTGATTATCTTGCCCTCAAAGTTCGAAACTCTTTTATTGCTGAGGATGTAGCTCAGAGATTCTAAAAGTATTTGCCTTGCACATATGAAATTCTGGGATCTTAGCATATTGGAACCCTGGGCTTGATCCTTGGCACCACATAAGTCCCTGAATAGCACTGGGAGCAAAACCATACTGCAGTGCTGCCCAGAGAGTGCCCCGGTGACTCTAAGCACAGAGCACTCCTAGGTATGGCTACAAATTAACAACAACTGAAAGAAAACCTTTTGGGTTATTTGAATTTATTAGAATCATTAAATTCATTATATATCCTTGCATAGTATTCTGGTTAAATGAAAATCATTACTATAGAATATTCTTAACATTTGGATATCATTGTTTGAATAACGATGCTTAATTTTAATCTAGGTATATATTATAATTACCCCCGAAATATTTCCTGAGTTAAATTTTGTTACCTAATAGTTTTAGTATTTGGAGGTCATAACATTCTATATCCAACGTATGATATGATCTTTTGATGTCTTATTTAACAAATGGTGCTGGGAAAAACATGCAAAACGAATTAACTCAGACCCCTTTCTAACACCATGCACAAAAGTCACAACAAAATCAATAAAGACTTTGATATTACACCCTAATGGTTGCGGCATTAAATCTAGTTGCATCATCAATGACAGTATCAATGCAATTAGCCATGCTACCAGAATAAACAAATGAGACTACATCAAATGTAGAAACTTCTACACCACAAAAGGGGCAATGGCAGAGGGAAGCGGACACTCTGGTGGAGGGTGTGGTGCTGAAATGTTGTATGCATGAAACCTTTCCATTAACATTATTGTAAACCACAGTGCCTAAAATAAAATACATTTCAAACAAAAAGAAATGCTATGGAAGATGATTACACAAGAGGCTTCCATTATGCTGGTATTTATTTGAGAGCTGGATGGTGGGTACACAGATACTAGTTATTTACTGTGGCTCTTTTGTTTGGGTGGGTGACAACACCTGGGGGTCACCCCTGAATCTTTGCTCAGGGGTAACTCTTGGTGTTATTAAAGGGACCAAATGTGGTGCCAGGATCTAACTGGGGTCAGCTGCCTATAAGGCAAGTGCCTTAATCCGTGCACCATCTCTCAGGCCCTCAAGTCTCAAATGTTTTGTGAAATAAAATGTAGAGGTAATATATATTCCTTCTAAAAAATTAAAACATTTAAATATAAATAAAACTATGTGTGGGGGATCTGGGTGGAGGATGCTCAGCCCCTATTTGAGCATGCTTGGAGATCTCAGCCCCGGGACCTGCATGCCTTTGTTCCTCTGCCAGTACCTTCAGGCGTGTGGAGAGCAGTCTCAGCATGGTTGTGGATGGTTCTGGAGGTCTTCGGCTGCCGGGGCTCTGCTTGGGGCAGGGAGGGAAACTCAACCCGCCCCCCTTCAAGGGGCCCCGGTGAGGACAGCCAGGCGCGGGGGGAGGGGGGCAGGAGATTCTGCCACCAGGGGTCACACCCACCAACTGTCCTCCCCCCGCCCCCCACCCCCGCCACCATGTAATCCTATCAATGGCCAAGACCCAGAGACTATAAAACCCACCCCACCTCCTGGAAGAGAACAGCGCAGAATCTCCTGGCCCCGCACCTGGCTGTCCTCGCCAGAGCGAGTTAAAATAGAAGAAAGTGGCATATATTCTTCCTAAGAGTGATCATAAAAAGTGTACCCATTCATTATTTAAAAACAGCTTTAAATGTTTTTAAATTACCACTATCACTATATTCTAAGAGTATATTTCATATACTTACTTCCTGATCCACTAAAGAAACATCTGGCCTCAGCCCCTCACAATAATGCAGGTAACGGAGAGAATTTCCTGGAAGATCTCCTCTGAGTAAGATAATTGCATCACGAGGCATAGAAGCAAGAAGATTCTTTGCAAATTTATCGATCACATAGTTGGTTCTTTGGTCACAAATGCTAAGTAAAAATAAGAAAAGCATTAAACAACAACATATTGCTACATTAAGAATGGACTTATTTTCTAATCCATTCCTTTTTTTTTTTTCCTTTTTGGGTCACACCCAGCAATGCTCAGGGGTTTACTCCTGGCTTTTCACTCAGGAATTACTCCTGCCAGTGCTCAGGGGATCATATAGGATGCCGGGAATCGAATCCGGGTCGGCCGTGTGCCAGGCAAACGTCCTACTTGTTGTGCTATCACTCCGGCCCCTCCATTCCTTTCTTATAACACAATCTACATTTAGTGTTTCATACTGTTCAAATTTATAGCTTCTAAGAAGATGTATGTATTTGAAAGAGGTTGCTATTACCTGTTTTAAAAAAAACTAATCATGCAATTGAAAAAATAGATGTGCTGATATACTTCTGGAATTCACATCCATTTCTAGAAAAAGGGAATTAGTTTATATTCGATTAAATCCCTTTTTTTTAAATCTGGCTTTTTTTAAAAAAATCTGAAAGTATGCTCAACTTCACTAAAAATACTAAGATTTATGACTCAATTAGGAATTTATGGTAATTTCACGTTCATGTATTTAGTCCAAAGGAATGTTCAAAATTGTGAAAGGAGGAGAAGCCCTAAGCTCGATTCCCAGTATTGCTGGCCTTGACACTCCCATACCTAAAATATGGGGCAAGCATTCAAAAAAGAAATCTACCATTTTTTGACATAGGTTTGACATTTATATGATTCTTGCATGCAAAGCTCATCCTTTCCACCTTTTCCTGAATGAAAAGGGAAGAAACAGATTGAGTTGTTTGCTTCTCTCTGGGCATTGCAAAGTGATTGACACCAGCAGCCGTCCTGTTTTCCAATCATGAACTCCCTCCCTTCCTCCCTTCCCTAGCAGTACTCAGGGCTTACTCCTGACTCTGCTCAGGGATCACTCCTGGCAGGACTTGTGGAATCAAATGAGGTGCTGCAGATTTAGCCCTGGTTGGCTGCATACAGGCACAGGGGTTACTCCTGGCTCTGCACTCAGGAATTACTCCTGGTGGTGCTCAGGTGACCATATGGGATGCTGGGAATCGAACCTGGGTCAGCCGTGTGCAAGGCAAATGCCCTACCCGCTGTGCTCTCTCTCCAGCCCCTCACCCCCTGATCTTTTTAGGTGCCTGTGCTATTGCTCCAGACCCTGAACTGTACCTTCTAACTTCAGAGAAAAATGGCATGAAAGCTTTCCATGGTAGGGAGTGTGGTGTTTGTGTGGAGAAGGTTATAAGAGAGCAAAAGCACTAAAATATGGAACAAGCAACATTCTTCCTAATATCATTAGGTCTGTTACATATGACAATATTCAGAAACACAGCCTAAAGTTGAATCACTAGGTTAGACACAGAAAGCAAACAAATATTTTTAGGGCTAGAAAATTAGCCTTGCCTTTACAAAGGATGCCACTGGGGATGTGGCTCAGTGGCAGAACATCAGGTACCTCAAAATTAAAAACAAAAAACAAACCCCAAATCACACAGTTAAAAACAACAAAAAAAAAGCACAGATGCAATGGTTTCCTACCATCTAAGAAAGCTGAATTTTATTTATTTCATTTATATGGCCAAGGAAAAGATTCCAAACAAAGTAAAATCACTTGGCAGTGCAGACATCCCTGGAGGAAGCTCTGACTGAAGCAGACACATGCTGACATTTAAAGAGATGGGATGAGTCAGAAAAAGAGGGACAGATATAGAATGACTGCATTCATTTGTGGGATATTAAAAAAAAAAAGGCGTGAGACTAATATCCAAAGTTAGGGGAAGCAAGGGCCCTGGAGGACTGGTCAATGTTTGGAAGCTTGCCACAAGATTGTGTGTGTGTGTGTGTGTGTGTGTGTGTGTGTGTGTGTGTGTGTGGTAGTGGGGGCAGCAGTGGGAGTGAAGGGCAGTTAGGATAGTTAAGATAGAAAAGAGAAGGTAACCAGTAGACAACAATAGTGGAAATAGTGGAAATGATCTTTCTGGACAGGAACTGAGTATTGAAAGTAGGTAAAGGAATCTACCAGATAACCTTTCAATATCTATACTGCAAACCACGATGCCCCAAAGTAGGGCGGGGTGGGGTGAGGGAGAGGGAGAAGGGAAGAAAGAGGGAGGGAGGGAAGAAGGGAGGGAGAGGAGGGAAAGAGAGAGAGAGAGAGAGAGAGAGAGAGAGAGAGAGAGAGAGAGAGAGACTGCCATAGAGCATAAAGGCACCAGGTAGGGGTTGGGGAACTGGGGATATGGGTGTTGGGAAATGTACACTGGTGAAGGGACAGGTGTTGGAACATTATATGACTGAAACCCAACCATGAACAACTTTGTAACTGCGTATCTCACTTTGATTGAATTAAAAATAATAAGTCAATTAAAAAAAAGACGGAAAGGACATCCCATAGCCACTGTCTTGTAAACTCTTCTATCGGCCCCCACTTTAAGATTCTTCACTAAATCCTGGAGGAGGTGCAAGCCATTAAAATGTATGGGTACACCAGTCTCCTGGATGAAAGTTTGAGGGTGCCGTAGGGAGGGGGGGCGGGTGAGTGCCCAACCTGCTGAAGCCCAAGCAGCTGCGTCTACACCCCAACAGCTGCCGCCATGTCAAGACCCAACTCCATTGCTTCTCAACTAATCTCTGCAGAGACACCAACCCTATGAAAATTCTAGGTATATGGGTTCTCAGGCTGAGAACTATGGGGTCTTCTCAGAATGGGAGAGGACAGCCTCCTTCAAATTCCTCCTCCCCGCACTCCATGACCCCTGTACTTTCAGAAACCCCAGCAGCCACACCTACATCCCACAACCGCAGTCATGTTCATGGCTCAGTTCTGCAGATTCTAGAGTTTCTGGAGAATAGGTCACCACACGACACCTACAAATTCCACAATACTGACATCCTGGTAGGAGTACACCAAATTAGATGGGAAAGTAATACAGAATTCAACTAAACTCAACAGGAAAAAAACAAAACAAAATAATAGCTGAAGGCTCAACATAATAAAGACAGCTTAGTAAATCCTCAGACAAAGACCCCATGGTGAGATAGAACAATTTTCACAAATTTTCTTTTACTGTAGTATTTTTTGATAATTCCATTAGCATTTAGTTGTAACAAGTTAAATATAAAATAAATTATTTTGTGCCTGCTAAGGCAGCAGACATAGGAAGTGGTTGGGAAAAGCTGGACATGGTGAAGGGAAGGTCACACCGGTGGTGGGATTGGTGTTGGAACATTGAATGTCCATAACAACTGTATTACAAACAACTTTGTAAACCATGATTTTTAAATAAACTAAAAAAAAAAATTAAAAAAATAAAAATAAAAAGATAGGAAAACCCTCTAGAATGAACTGAGCTGTGTATAGAATATATCCTCTCAACACTGATGCCAATATAGAACATCAGGTTTTTAAAGTTAAGTTGAAAGAGACATTTTGGGGCTGGAGCAATAGCACAGTGGGTAGGGCGTTTGCCTTGCACGTGGCTGACCCGGGTTTGATTCCCAGCATCCCATATGGTCCCCTGAGCACCGCTAGGGGTAATTTCTGAGCGCAGAGCCAGGAGTAACCCCTGTGCATTGCCGGGTGTGACCCAAAAAGAAAAAAAAAAAAGAAAGAGGAAAGAGACATTTTAATTTTTTTTTTTATTAGTGAAACACCATGAGGTACAGTTGTAGATTTACAAATTTTTGTGCTTGGATTTCGGTCATACCATGATCAAATACCCATCCCTCCACCAGTGCCCATTTTCCACCACCAGGATAATATCCCTCCCCCCCACCCCCATCCCCCCCTGCCACCGTGGCAGGGCATTCCCTTTTGTTCTCTCTCTCCTTTTGGGTGTTGTGTTCAGCAAAAGAGGCATTGAGTGGCAAACATGTTCAGTCCAGTCTACATTTTAATTTTAAAACCAACCAATAAATTTAATCAAATCTCACTAAAAAAAAAGTCCAATGGAGTCTTCTACTTTTGTACTGTTTACCCAGTTCTGTGGGAAACTAATGAGCTGACTAATGAACTTTAACTTGAACATGTTTTTGTTATGCTGAAATTTCATAGGTAAGTAGATTTTTAGAAATTCAGATAGCACTGGTAATACATATAGTTAAGAAAATTTCAGAACTTTTGATATTTAAAAACAATATTCACAACTACAGAATGAGCTATATAAGAACCAGGTACCTACTCAAAACATGAAATTGTTGAAGAATAATGTGGACTGTTTTAAGGTGCATAAAACTTTCCAATGTCTTTATTCTTCATTTAAATATTTTAGATTATGGAGTTGCATATACTTCAGATTCTACAAAGGTTTTCTAGGGTTCCTTAAAGGAAATTATGTACAAAATTTGCAAGCAGTGCCCTTCTTTCCCATGCCCTCTACGTCACTCCTGCTTAGATTCTAATTTAAAAAAAGAAACAAACAAAAGACTTCAAATTCAAGAACCTTTGTATCAGAACAAAAGTTGTCTTCCTTCGAAAACCAATACATGTTAAAGATGAAATAAAGTCCTAGAATCAAAATAGCCAAATGATTACAGATTGAACACTACTTTTCATAAATGATAAATTACCTGTAATTAGAATATAACTGGTAAGTTACAAAAAGAATTGCTGAAAGCCACTCCAGACACCGGAGCCCGCTGATGTTCAGCACTCGGTGACACTCTGAAATGACAGCAGCCAAACCAATGCCAGCAAGGACAGCCACCACAGCATTGCTCTGCATCCAGAATCGCTCCACCTGTAAGAGACAAGAAACCCCAGTGTTCTGTTGCGTGCTTTATCCACCGGGTCCCTGTGTATTTTAAGGATGTACTGAATGCACCTAGTCGCCTCCGCCTGCTGCCATTCTGGTCTTGCCAAGGCAAGGCCACACAACATTTATCTCCCAATGTCCAAACATTCCTCCTTCCAAACTGGACATGTGAATCCTCTCTTGGATCCACAGCCTTTATCTCGAACTCCTGCAGTATATAAAGCAGAAGAGAGATGCTTTTGTTTTCTTTGCTCCCAGTGTTCCTAAGCTCCATCTGACTCCTGATTGCCTCTCTCACCCTGCCTTCCTTACTTCTATGTGACTCTAGGAATGGAACTGAAGGGGGAACTTTGGGGACTCGGACTGGCCCCTAGTCCTTCCTTTTCTCATTTATTCTCTTGGATAGGAGCTGCCCAGGGAAAGACTCTCTCTGGAGTCCCAGTGAGATGAGATGGAGAGAGGCCCATCCTGTGGGACACTGACCATGACTAGTGGGGGGTTCCCGGCCATGTGGAGGTACAGGATTAGGATGACCTTGTTCAGAGCTGTGTTCTCCAAATTATGCCTCAATAAAGGTGATTCACTCACCAATACTCTGGTCTATTTTGTTTCTCAATGGATTCAGGTAGTCAAGTAAGGTATTATTTATTAGATCTTGGAGTCAGCTGTTAAAAAAAAATTAAGCTAATTCAGAGATGGAACCTGGAGCCCAACAGAAACACAGCTGCTCTTTCAACAGACATGAGTCTGGAAAGCCTGGAAATGAGGCAAAGTCTTTTATAATCTCAAAACCAAAGCTGTTATAATACATATTTCTTTGCTATTAAAAAAATAACTAGAAGAAATGCAATATGCAGATGCTTATTTCTGGATATATATATATATATATATATATATATATAATGACTAACTTAAACCTTCCTCACATCAATTTTACATTTAACTACTGCGTAATTAAAGACTGGGGTTTTTCTAAAAAGGGGCCTTAGCCTTACTGGTGCAGAAATTTAAGTTTGGGGGATCTAATAAGGTACATGTAAATGTAATTTTAACTATTTCTGAGATAATTTGCTCATCTACACGATTCATGAAGACATATTTGTGTATTACTGACTTTCTGCTCAAAGAATATTTTTTTTTTCTTTGTTAATTGTTTTTTTTTTTCTTTTTTATTAGTGATCAAAGAATATATTTACATAAGACTTACCACACCCATGAAAAGTGGTTTTGAAATATCTAAATTTGCTCTCCAAGCAAAGAATAATGAATAAATGCAAAGCATTCCAGTAAAAAGCCATACTAATAATGGAGTCTGTTTGTCCCTGTAAAAAAATTTTAAATATGTTCAAAGTTATTTATATAACATTAAATAGGAATTCTACTTAGTTTCAAATTATAATAAATATATGAATTTATATAACTTTACACCTTTAGGTAAAAAATAAAGAAAAATTTCAGACTTAAAATTCTAAGTTGAAATAGATAACCAAAACCTAATAAAGAAAAATTTCAGACTTAAAATTCTAAGTTGAAATAGATAACCAAAACCTAACAATATATTATACATTGTACTGCATATAGTGGACAATCTAATTTGGAACTATGAAGTTAAACTTTAAATTACATAAAAGTTGTATTGATTATTACATTAAAGATGAAATTAAGCACATCTAAAATAAGAATAATTTCAAATATCAAAATAATGACTTTTTATTATTATTTCTTTTTGGCTTGGGGGCAGACCCAGCCAGGGCTCAAGGTTACTGCTGGCTCTGCACTCAGAAATCATTCTTGGCAGTGCTTGGGGAACCAAATGGGATGCTGAAGATCAAACCAAGGATGGCCATGTGCAAGGCAAGCACCCTGACTGCTGTACTATTTCTCATCCCCCTAAAAAATAATAAACATTTAAAAGGAGAAGCTCAAATGGTGAGAATACAAAGCTTGAGAACATATTACACAATCTTCAAGTTAATTTTATAATATGGACTAGGCGTCTTAAATGTTCATACTCATTGATCCAGTCATTTGACATGTAAGCATAAATCTTAAAGCTATAACCAGAAATGTAGATTTAAATTAATGTATACAATGCTATGATATTGCTTATAAAAATAAGAGCAATCTAAGATTTTTGGAGATGGGGGCTGGAGAGATAGTAGAGCGGGTAAGGCTCTTACCTTGCATGTAACCAACCCAACTTTTGATCCCCAGCTTTGGATCCTGATCTCTAGCATCCCATATGGTCCCCCAAGCCTACCAGGAGTTATTACTAAGTGCAGAGCCAGGAGTAACCCATGAGCATTGTTAGGAATGGCCCAAATCCAAAACCAAACCAAAACAAAACAAAACCAAAAAAATAATAAAACAATGGTGTTTAAAAAAAGACTGTATGAAATTATATTAACCCTAATAGAAATGATTTGCAATATAAGAGATTACTTTTTTGGATCTTGGCCATTGATGGGATTACACGGCACCGGGGGCATTTGGTGGGTGTTAACGCCTGCATACTGGAAGATGGGGGATCTGGGTGGAGGAGGCCCCAGTCCCAACCCAAGCAGGCTTGGAGATCTACGCCCCCGGCCCTGCACACCTGGGTTCCTCTGCTGGTTCCTTCATGCGTGAGGCTCGTCCGAACGTGTGGAGAGTGTTCTTAAGCATGGCTGTGGCTGGAACCGGTCTTCAGCTGCCGGGGCTCTGCTCGGGGTGGGGTGGGAAACTCAACCCACTCTTCTCCAAGGGGCCCTGTCGTGCATGGGTTGGGACTGGGGCTTCCTCCACCCAGATCCCCCATCTTCCAGTATGTAGGCGTTACACCCACCAAATGACCCCGGCGCCATGTAATCCCATCAACGGTCAAGACCCAGAGCTATAAAACCCTGTTCCCGGAGGCATCTTATCATCTAGTTCTTACTCTGGAGAACCTGGCAGGCTACCAAAAGTATCCTGCCCACACAGCAGAGTCTGGCAAACTCCCCGTGGCATATTCAATATGCCAAAAACCAGTAACAATGATGGGTCTCATTCTACTGACCCTGAAAGAGCCTCAAATGTGGCACTTTTTAAAATCTCAGGGCTAGGACGAAGGAGACATTACTGGGGCCTGCTCGAGGCAATCAATGAACAACAGGAAGACAGTGATACTTTTTTGGAATATAAAACAATGAAATATTATATAATGAAAGTGGAAATATTATATAATGAAAATTGAAATATTAATTAATAAACATGGGAAAATAACAACAAAAAGGAATTACATTACTCACTTTCTAGGGAGACATATGTTTGCCCAAATTGCCAGGGCTTGAATGTTGAATGAGAGTTCTTCCCTCATATTTGTTACTTGAGAACTATAAAAGACAAAATAACTAATTGTTAGCAGAATGTAAAGCTGGTTAATTCCAAAGAAAACATTCTAAAGAAACCAAAGCCATTAACATCTGCTTATACACTTAATTTCAAGGACTACAGTCATATTTCTAAATGATTTTGTCTTACATTATGGAGAAAAAGTGCTATAAGAAAGTTAAGCCCTTATGTTTTCCAATGATAACATTTGGTTACAAATTTACATAATTTGCTTACAAATATATGAGAAAAATAACTTCTGTATTTGGGATATTGATATATTGACATTGTTAACCAATTTATATATTTTTTCATTTTTGTGTTTGTTTGTGTTTGGGGCCATTGCATACTGTGCTCAGAGCTTAATTCTGGCTTTGTGCTCACTCATGAAGATACTCAGGGGACCATATGTGGTGCCAAACTCGGGCACTACATCTAAGGTAAGCACACCATCAGTTACAGCCTCATTCTGAGCCCCAAATTTAGATCCCTAACTGTTTTGACAATGTGTCATTTGAATAAGTTCTTGAACTTTGTTCAATTAGCAATGCAAATATGACCTCCAATTTTGTAACTGAATACAAAATTAAATCAAGGGGCTTGAGCAAGAGTATAGCAGGTAGGGCTACTGCCTAGTGCACGGCTGTTTCTATCCCTGGCTCCACATATGGTTCCTGAGTCCTGCCAAGGATAATGCCTGAGTATCATTGTGTGTAGTCCCGTAAAACAAAACAAAAACAAAACAAAAAAATTAAATCAAGTAGTTGTCAGGACATCTAACCTGGAAGAAAGGAAAAGAGGAAGGAAGGAAGGAAGGAAGAAAGGAAGGAAGGAAGGAAGGAAGGAAGGAAGGAAGGAAGGAAGGAAGGAGAGACAAGAAAAGTGATATCCATCTGTTCTTCTCTGGGTTTACCAACTTCTTCCTTAAAAGGCTATAGAATCAAACTTAGTTTACCATGGCAGGCAGACCAACAGAAGGGAATATAAGAGAGGGCCCCAGGGACAATGGAGGAAGTAGATACTCTGGTAGGAAGTGTGGTGTTGGAAAGTTGTATGCATGGAAATATATCTTTAACAATGTAACTCACAGTGACAAAAATTAAAAAAAAAATTTTTAAGGCTTCCTATTTTTCAGGTTCAAAAAAATTTTTAAGCTGCTATAGAGACATTTTCCCCCACTATAATTAACCTAAATTCTTCCATTAACTAATAAGCATTTCCCAAGTATTATTTGAATTCTATAATGGTTTTAACAGCATCCAATTTTTAAAAAAGAACTCCATACACCATCTTAAAGAACTTCCGTCTTCCTACTGGCAATTTTACTGGAGAAAATGTGATGCCATAATTATGGAAACCACACAATATGTATTTTATTAATGGAGATTCATCTACTACGAGAAAATATCCTTACTCATTTTCAAATACACTTGAAAAATTGATTCCAGCATGAGGCCCATTTCAAACATTCTTCAAAAGGAATGAAGTCAGTCTCAAAATTAATTCTTGAAGATCTGTTGCTTAAATGTAAGCTCTGAAATATGGTCACTGCCTAGGGTTAGATTTAATAATTTTCTTGTATAGAATTGCAATTTAGAGATATGCATGGGAAAAGCATTTAATTTGCTTGACTGGGAAAAGGTAGATGATTAGGTTCCATCATACTGAAGGATTTTCTAATAAGTTAATTAAAATTGCCTTTCTCCACACGCGTGTACACTTAAAACAATTAAAGACTAGAAATTCTCTTAATCAGAAAGTGCTGGAATTATGTCTCCCATTCTACCTTATGACTTGGCTGGAACAGTATGGTTGTGAATGGTCATCAGTTTTGTCATTGTCTCTGGGTATATAACCTTATTGCTACGATTTCAATGGAAAGGAGGCCTTCGAAAGTCCCAAATAGATGATTTTTTATATGTAATCAATGAAAGTTAGATGCATGGCCTAAAATTACCCTAGAGGGTTCTTTGTAGTACATGTGGGATTTATTAATGAAAAATGTCCCAGTCATCTTGGGCATGATAACAACCCCAGCAGACAGGTAGAATAAAACAGACTGTGGTTGGAGCAAAGCAAAAATCAATTAAAAGATCAGAAACACTGGTAAAATTCTTCTTTAAAAGGAAACAACTTCTGGGGGCTGGAGCAATAGTACAGCAGCTAGGCTGCTTGCCTTGCATGTGGCTGACCTGGGTTCAATCCCTGGTATTCCATATGGTAACTCAAGCCTGCCAGAAGTGATCTCTGAGTGCAGAGTCAAGAGTTAGCCCTGAGCACTGCCAGGTATGACCCCCACCCCACACACACACAAGAAACAGTTTTTTGCTACCTTATTGTCAATAAAAAAGGAAAAAGTCATGAAATCTCAACAACAAAAAGAACAATTTCAAATCAATTGTGAGAACCAGTAACAAAGGATAAGAGTAGCTAGTGGTAGGGAAATATTTTCCAAGATATAGCATAAAATGAAGATTAATAAAGAGCAGACTAATAAAACAACCTGCATATTATGATTACTTTTTAAAATGCAAAAACATTTATAAACAGGACAATGGAAGCAAGGAAGCTAGCAAATAAAGACAACAGAAACTGGGCCAGAGAGAATGTACAGCAGGTAGGGTGCTTGCCTTGCATGTAGCCAACCTGGATTCAATCCATAGCATCCCACATGGTCCCCTGAGCCCACCATGAGCGATCCCTGGGCAGTGCTAGGCATGTCTCCTCCCCCTTTCCCCAAAATAAAAAAAAAAAAAAGAAATTGTGAGAACCTCTGAACTGCCTCATAAGTAGAGGCAAAATATTCTCTGAAAATTTCAAATTAATAATCAGTTAGGATTATAATAAGTGATTATTAGGATTATACTATTATAATAATCACTTTCCTTCTTCCTAATTTTATTTAAAAATATTAAAAAATATTATAGGTATGGATATTTTTCAAGCGGACTCAATTTGTATAATTTTTGTTTTGTTTTGGGGTCATACCTAAATACTTGGGCTGGAGCGACAGCACAGCGGTAGGGCATTTGCCTTGCACGCAGTCAATATGGCCGACCCAAGTTCGATTCCTCCGCCCCTCTCGGAGAGCCTGCCAAGCTACGGAGAGTATCTCGCCCGCATGGTACAGCCTGCCAAGCTACCCGTGATGTATTCAATATGCCAAACACAGTAACAACAAGTCTCATGATGGAGATGTTACTGGGCCCGCTCAAGTAAATCGATGAACAACGGGAGGACCGTGTGTCCTTTGCTAAATACTTGGTGGTGCTTTGGGCTGACTCCTGGCTCCGCACTCAGTACTTACTCCTGGTGATTCCTGAGTAAGTAAGGAGCATGAAATGTCTTACCCACTGTACTATGTCTTTGGCCCCCAAAAATTTGTATGATTTTTTTTTTTTTTTTTTTTTTTTTTGCTTTTTGGGTCATACCTGGCGATGCACAGGGGTTACTCCTGGCTCTGCACTCAGGAATTACTCCTGGTGGTGCTCATCCATATGGGATGCTGGGAATCGTACCTGGGTCGGCCGCGCGCAAGGCAAACGCCCTACCCTCTGTGCTATTGCTCCAGTTCCATTGTATGGAATTTTAGGCAAATATTAACCTATCTTTTTAAGAATGCTAGTAGAAACCATAGATGAAATATATTTGCTTAAGCTATCTCTAAAAAAGTTGTATGTGAAAATATGTCAAAAATAGAGCTTATGGATAGGTGGTCTAAAGGAAAAATCTTAAGAGACATTAAATGAAGCTACAAAGAATTAAGATGTAAGTAGGACAGTGAGAATGTACACGGGTTGCTGCTTGCTTTTGCTTGCAGAGCTGATCCTGGCACTAAGTATGGTCCCCAAGTACCACCAGGAGTGACTCTGAGCACAGAGCCAGAAGCAGCCTTCAAGCCTCGCTATATGTCACCAAAGTCCTTCTCACCAATTAATCAATCAATAAATAACCAGGAGTCAGAAATAAATCAATGGGCTGAGTGCATGGATTGCAAGTGGGAGACCCAGGTTTTGTCCCCAGCACTGCAGTGCCCTGAGCACTTCTGAGGATTACCCTGAAGCACAAAGCTGGACACTTCCAGGTACCCTCAAAAGAAAAGTTTAAAAATAATTTTAAGGCATGACTCAATTCCAAATAACAAGTGTTCACAATATGCTAAATATAGTGTTACAAAGTCTCTCCAAAGAAAACAGACATAAAAAACATAACACAAGCAACAGAACATTGGGTAATTTTGTATTCAATTGAAAGTGGAAATGTTTTAATAGGATCTATACAGTCTCTCTCTGTTTTTTCTATACAGTCTCTTAATATTCAACTTCACTACTGTATTTATTGCTCATAAGGTAAGCTTTATCTTATTGAACAAAATGCCAAGATGTATAGAAGATACACTTGTGTAATGAATATACACAAACTTTATTGCAAAGGTATATTTCACAAAAAAAGTTAACTAAGAAATCCAAAAAAATCACAGGACCTGTGACTGAAATCTCCAAGCTTGCTCAGAGCAGGAATGGGCCTCCTTCTTCCATCTACTAAGTTTACCAGTAGCTTGGCAGTAATACCCACAAACTGCCTCTGGCACCATAGCATCTCAATGGCCATAATCCAGGGACTCAGAAATAAAGCTCCCGGAGGAGAGCAACATAGAACGAATGACACACTGCAGAGATGTCTCCAGATGTCTTAACCAGGGACACTCAGAGGGGAGCGGGTGAGTTTCCCTCTCCATCTCAACAGAGACCCGGCAGTCAAAATTCTCCAGAACTCAATAGCCATCAGGCTCAGGCCCACTCTCCACAGGCTCAGATGAGCCTCACCTATGAGTGAATCTGTTGTATAATTGTATTCTAAATTTTTGAATTTCTGGAGCGAACTCTCATACTCTACACCACTGATGTACCAAGAGTAGCGCACAACATTTGATGGGGTTTAACAAACATGTTAGTAATCTCTTACACAAGGGCTTAATGGCTCCAGGATGATATACACACACTTTCCTCTAAGGAAACTTTATTCGACCATTTTCAGCAGATTATTCATAAGTAATACAAAAGCAATTGTTCCGTTTCTGCTTGGGAGGGGCACGGTTGGGGATTTGGGGTGGAGACATTTGAATTAGGGTGGTGGGAAGGTTCATTGGTGCTGGGATTGGTGTTCAAATATTAAATGTACTTAAATATACTGAATTATTGTGAGCAACTTTATAAAAATAAAAAGAAATCCAAAAAATCATTTAAAGGAACAGAAAATCCATTCAAAAATATTTTCAAATATTTGATACTCACAGCAATATTTCAGACATACTGGATCCTACTTCAGATTTGGCCTAAATATTAAAAAAAAATGAAAGTTCAGTTGTGCACACATTTAGCTGAAGCTTGTTTAAGCTACTATATTCAACAATCTTATTTTAAAAGGTAAATGTTTTAATATATAATGTAATATTTCCCTTCTTTTAATTTCTGCAGGGCCTTACTAAGAATTTTTAAGTTTGTTTTTATTTTTGGATCATATCCGGTGGTGCTCAGAGATCAATTCTGGCAGTCTTGGGAGAATATATTGGGTGGCTGGGATTGAACCCCAGGTCAGCCATGTACAAGGCAAATGCCTTACCTGCTATATTATCTTTCAGGCCCCAGGAAAAAAATATTTTAAGTCAGTGAAAACTAAACAAGGCTATCTCTGAGGAAGAATTTTAGAAATAATAATTGGTCAAAAATCAGTTAACTGTTCCACCAGGAATTATTAACATATTAATAAATTAAGAGATTTTGTACACTTGTTAGACTGTCTATAGCTGTTTATGGGTACTTAGAGCTCATTATTCACTTGTTAGTCTAAAATCTCCTAATCAAGAATAAATTATACAAATTTAAAATCTGGAATCTGTAAGAAGCAATACATATAAATAACCCACAGCATAAATTTAAAGTATCAAACTCTCTAAGTAAAAAAAGAATGATTTTTATTAACCTACTTTATTATGCACTATCTCTTACATTACAAGCAGCATATGGTGCATATTTAAGAAATAGTGAGTTTTTAAAAATCTATAGTCCTGGGACCAGGAATGTAGCTCAGTGACAGAGTATATGCCATGGATGTGTTAGGCACTAGATTCTATCCTTGGCCCTGCGAAGAAACAAACAAAAAAATGACTGAATGACCATTTATTGAAAAAACAGAAAAGGGGCTGAGGAAATGGCTGACAGGATGGGGAGCATACTTTGCATGCAGAAGCTGCAGGTTCAATCCCCAGCATCACATGGTTCCCTGAATATCACCGGGTGTGACCGTCTCCCAAATAAACACAACAAAGAATTCCTCATGAAAACCTCAAAGTAAGTTATAAAGTCTTGTTGTGTTGCTTAATCTCCTACTTTGTAAAAAACATGTAATTTCGCTACTACATTTTTTATCCTTAAGTAATACATGGTTAACTTCTGCATAGTTTATATTTGCACCATATAATATACATCCTTCTGACATTACTTTCTTCTTTTTTTTTTTTTTACTATGGTTTATTTTGGGGCCACATCCAATTGTGCTTAGGTCTTACTCCCAGCTTTAGGCTCAGGGTTTATTCTTGGTGGGTCTGAGGGGATCATATATGGTACCAAGGGTCAAACTGGTGCTGACCATATGCAAGGCAAGCACTTTACCCCAGTACAAAATCTTTGGCACCCCACCCCCACCTCCCAATTTTTGTTTCGCTTTGTTTTGGGGCCATACCCAGTGGTGCTCATGCGACGCTCAGGCTTAATCCTGGTTCTGTGCTCAGGGATCATTCCTAGTGGTCCTCTGGGGACCATTTGTGGTACTGGGAATCAAACCAGGATCACCTACTACATGCAATGCAAGCACTCTACCTGCTGTACTATCTCTCCGACCCCCACCAATGATTGTTTTGTTAAAAGTCCAGCTTAAACACGGAAGTTTTTCCACTTATTTTTCTAAAAAGGAATCTCATTAGAAATTTACCAGACTGAATGTTCCATATTCTTCCCTGAGAAAATGTGTCAAAAATCCAAGCAATGTTGTCTGGTCTCCCCAGGTCCAGCGGGCTCGACTAAGGTAGGATGAGATGGGCAGGTAGACATAGGGCAGCAAACCAGCAGTGAAGCACAGGCTCAGCTTCAGCAGGGAGCCCAAGGAGAGTTCCTGCAGCAGAGCACAGTGTGCCGTGTGACACTGTTTATTTTAGTCTACTTCATTCTGGAACTTCAAGAATACAGCAAAGAAAACATCAAGTCTGTTTACTCAGAGCTGATCTCTCAATTTATATTAAGTCACCACAGAATACTGTGTTAAACCTCCTGATTACTGTGGATTACTAGAAAATTGCATCAGCCTGAACTCCTTTGCATGGCAGGTGAAATCTGAGTGAAGCAAATAATATTAACAAAGACTTAGGAGTATCATGTTTACTGCATCTTTTACATTTAAAACCATGTCATGACATGCAGCATTGCACAGCTGAGATAACCCACTTGGAAGGGATTGAGTTGGCTGGCTGGTTTTGAATATGCCCCAAATACTGTTCTCATACCAATTCACTTCATTCCTCTCATCAGGAACAGACACTCTATATACTCTACTATGATTACATATCGACAAACTGATTTTTTCTACAAGAGTTTCAAACATTCCATGGCACAAATGAAGCTAGCTTTTATATAACCTCCGAATTTATCCAAATGCCCCCTTTCTTCTCATTTGACACAGATGATGGAGGACTAAAGGAAATTTGTGACTATATGGAACAATATTGCTTCATATAAGAATATATTTCTCATCTGAACATTTATAAAAGAAGTGAAATAAAAAAAAGAAGTGAAATGTTAGTGAATCAATGCAAAGATTAAATCCAAAAGCATTATAGGTCACTAGAGAGATCCATAGTGTAATAGTTTCAGTAACGGAAAGAGACTCTTACAAATATTATCATTGGAAATTGTCAATTTTCTTTGACAAAAAAGTATAAACATGTGACAAAGCATCCACCAAAAGCAGACTAAGTCATAGATTCTATTGAGTAGTAGTTTCAGTAATGGAAAGAGACTCTCACAAATATCATCATTGGAAATTGTCAATTTTCATTGACAAAAAAAGTATAATCATGTGACAAAGCATCTACCCAAAGCAGACTAAGTCGTAGATTCTATTGGCATTATCAAATAAATATTAATTAAAAGTGGAGTGCTTTTATTGCAGTATTCATTTAATTTGATGTTTCTCAAATGGTAATGAGGTACATTGAAAACAATGACATGAGGGGCTGAAGAGATTTCTCAGTGGGTAGATTACTGGCCTTGCACATAGACTATGTAAGTCCAACCAGCAGTCCCCCCCAGTCCTGCCAAAAGTGATTTCTGAACATGGAGCCAGGAGTAAGTTCTGAGCATTGCTGGGCGTGCTCCCTATGACACCCCTCATCCTCCCAAAAGAAAAGAAAACAATGATAGCATGGAAAGAGTAAAAGAAATAGCTAATAGAACAATGTGACTTTGCTATTCATAAAAACAGTCCTAATTGAATTAATCAGGAAACAAAAAGAAATAAAAGGCATGTTATAAGAAAGGAGTGAAATAACCTGTTTGCATCTGACATGATTTTATATATACACACATATATAGAAAATCCTCAATATCTTGTCAAAAAAATTAGAACAAGTAAGCGAGGAAAGTTGCAGTGGGCTAGGGATGTGGCTCCTCAGAAGCAAGCCAGCAAGTGCTTCACCATGGGTTCAAGCTTCAGCACTTCAGTCAAAAACAAAAAAAAGTTCATAGAAAAATTTCAGGATATAAAAATCAACATGCAAAATTAATGATTTGATCGAGAATAATATAATGAACTATCCAGGGGTCAAAATTTTTTTAAAAATCCCATTTATATTGCCATCAAAAGCAATACATACCAAGGAACATAACTGGGGAAAGGGATTTCAGTCACACCCAATCATTACTCGGACTTCTGGCTCGATACTCTGGGATCATTCCTGGCAGTGCTTGGAGGACCATATGCAAAGTCAGGGATAGAACTAGGGTCAATCGTGTGCGAAGCAAGTACCTTAATCCCTGTACAATCTATCTGGTCTCCTAGGAACACGATTTAACCAAGAATGTTAACTAAAAACTTTAAACTAAAAACTATGCACATTGGTTAAATAAATTGAAGAAGACAAATAAATGGAAAGTATCACAAGTTTCATGAGTTGGAAGAATGAATCATTAAAACTTACAGTTTTAACCATAATTAGAACAACCCCAAATCATCTATAGTGTGAAAGCATTCCTATCAAGATTCATATACACATACGTACATATCTATCCATCTATCCATCTATCTACCTAAAAGATACATACCCATTTTCAATGATACTTTTTAAAGAATTTTGGGACTAGTAAGACAGTACAGCAGGTAGGGCACTTGCCTTGCACATAACTGATCTGGGTTTGATCTGGAACCATTCCCATTTGGTCTCCTAAGCTTCACCGGGAGTGATCCCTGGGCATGAGCCAGGAATAAGCCCTGAGGATCACCATGTATGAACCAGAAACCAAAAGGAAAAGAATTTAAATAGGGATCCTAAAATGTGCACAGAACTGTAAAAAGAGTAGTCATAGCAATAATGACAAAATCAAAAGGTGGAGGTATCACATTACCTGGGTTCAATTATATTTTAAAACTCTGGTAATTGTCATGATATTGTATTTGCATCAAAACAGACCCACAGTCTCTGATGTGTGAGATGGTATCTCATTGTGGTTTTGATCTGCATCTCCCTGATGGTTAATGATGTAGAGCATTTTCTCATGTGCTTTTTTGCCATTCGGATTTCTTCTTTGAGAAAGTTTCTGTTCATTTCATTGCCCCATTTTTGGATGGGGTTGGATGTTTTCTTCTTGTGGAGTTTAACCAGTATTTTGTATATCCTGGATATCAACCCCTTGTCAGATGTGTATTCGGTGAATATTCTTTCCCATTCTGTAGACTGTCTTTGTATTTTGGTCACTGTTTCTTTGGAGGTGCAGAAGCTTCTTAGTTTAAGCTTCTTTCTCAAAGAAGAAATCCAAATGGCAAAAAAGCACATGAGAAAATGCTCTACATCATTAACCATCAGGGAGATGCAGATCAAAACCACAATGAGATACCATCTCACACCTCAGAGACTGGCCCACATTCAAAAGAACAAAAGCAACCGATGCTGGCGTGGATGTGGCGAGAAAGGGACACTCCTTCACTGTTGGTGGGAATGTCCACTGGTTCAGCCCTTCTGGAAAACAGTATGGACGATTCTCAAAAAATTAGAAATTGAGCTCCCATTTGACCCAGCAATACCACTCCTGGGAATATATCCCAGAGAGGCAAAAATGTATAGTCGAAGTGACATCTGCACTTGTTTGTTCATTGCAGCACTCTTTACAATAGCCAGAAACTGGAAGAAACCTGAATGCCCAAGAACAGATGACTGGTTAAAGAAACTTTGGTACATCTACACAATGGAGTACTATGTAGCTCTTAGAAAAGATGAAGTCATGAAATTTACATACAAGTGGTACAATATGGAAAGTATCATGCTAAGCGAAATGAGTCAGAAAGAGAGGGATAGACATAGAAAGATTGCATTCATCTGGGGGATATAAAGTAAGAAAGTATGAGATTAATACCCAAGAATAGCTGAGATCAGCACCAGGAGGATTACTCCATAACTTAGAGGCCAGCCGGGTATCCTAGAGGAAAGGGCAGTTCAGATAGAGAAGGGAGCACCAAATAAAGGATGTTTGGAGGATCCTCCCAGGAGGGGAGATGCATGTCGAAAGTAGACTATGGACTGAACATGTTTGCCACTCAATGCCTCTTTTGCAGACCACAACACCCAAAAGGAGAGAGAGAACACAGGGGATTGCCCTGCCACAGAGACAGGGGGGATGGGGGGGATGGGGGTGGGAGGGATATTATCCATGGTGGTGGAAAATGGGCACTGGTGGAAGGATGGGTATCTGATCATTGTATAATTGATACCAAAGCACAAAAAATTGTAAATCTACAACTGTAAAAAATAAATAAAATAAAATAAAGGGAAAAAAAAAACAGGTAACCCCTAAACTGATCTTTACATATATTACATATGCACAGCTTTCTGTATGTTAACCACACCTTAATAAAAATTATTGTTAAAATAAAAAAAAAAAACAGACCCACAGACCAAAGAAAAAGAACTGAGAGCCCAAATGTGTGTGTGTGTGTGTGTGTGTGTGTGTGTGTGAGTGACACTGAACAATATTTGACAAGAAAGTAAAAAAACTCAATGGGAAAAGAATACTATTTCAGCAAACATTGTTTGGAAAAGCAGGTGACTATAAGTAGAATTGAATAGGACTTTTATCTTTGACCACTCTCAAATATTAAAGCAGATTGGAGCCTTAAATATAAGATCTGAACTGTAAATCTTGGAGTGGGAGTGGGGGGGTATAAAAATATATATGGGAGACGCTCCTTGACTTTGGTCTTGGCAGTAATTTCTCAGATATTACACCAAACCACAAGTTTTGAAGGCAAAACTTTTAAAGTGGGGCCTATACCACAAGAAAACGTTTGTACACCAAAACAATAAATAAATAAATAAATAAATAAGCAAGTTACAAAAGGGAACCTACAGAAGGACACTTGCAAATCACATATATGATAAGGAGTTGATATCCTATACGTAAGAAACGCATACAACTCAATAGTAAAATCATCCTCATCATCTGACTAAAGAACAAGCAAGATTCCTGACTTAAACAATTTACCAAACATTCAAATAGCCAAAAGAAATGATAAACGTGACTACAGCGTTAATATTTGAGAAAATGCAAATCAAAAGCACAATAAGCTATCATGACCTCAGCTCTGTTAGAATGGCTATCCTCAAAAATAGAAGCTCCAATCAGGATGTGAAAGAAACGACCCTGTATCTCCTTGTGGAAATGTGAATTGGTAGAGTCACTTTGAAAAAGATTAGCCACTTCAAAAAACTAAAAACGTATCTACCAGATGATTCAGCAACTCCACTTTGGGAATGTATTTGAAGGAAATTGGGATCTTGAAGAGAAATCTGCAGCCCCTGGTGTGGTGCAGCCTCGTGCCTCCACTTATGATGCCAGTATTATTCAGCCAGGGGAACAAAGGCCACACTGCCATTTACGAAACACTGATGAGACACTGGAGTTATTAAGGGAAGTGAAATAAATAAGTCAGATGACAAAGAAGGACAAAAACTGTACAATCATCACGTAGAGTTGGACTCTAGTAAAATTTTACTCAGACAAGCAGTAGATTGGCGGTTGCCAGAAATAGAGGTAGATGAGTGAAGGTAAGCAAAGGGTCCAAGCTTCCAGTGATCAGGGTATTAAGGGGTAGGAAAGTCAGAGCTGGGGGCTGGAGTGCATGCCTGTGCCTGCAGAAGGCTAGATGCCATCCCCAGAACCATATGGTCCACATCACCCCTGCCACCAACACCACCACCAGAAGAAGCACTAAGCTGGGAATTGTCCCTTGGGCACGCTGGGTGTGCCCCCACCAAAAAAAAAATAGAAGAGTAAGTTGTTGAATTCTAATAATATACAGCATAGTGAGTATAGTTAACAATATTGTATTGTCTATTTGAAAGAGGCCTTACAAGGCTTCTCAAAACACAATTATTAACTTCATAAGATAATGGAGGCATCTCATTTATTGACGTAATCATTCTGTAAAACGTACATACGCTGAATCATCACAGTGTACACCTTAAACTTATTCTATGCTGTTTATATATCTCTTCTTGTTGCTGTTTTTTTTTTTTGTCTTTGGGCCATACCTGCTGGTACTCAGGGGGTTGATCCTGGCTCTGCACTGAGAAACTACTCCTGAAAGGTCTGAAGGACCACTGGGTGCTGGGGATCAAACTCAGTCTGTTGCATGCAAGGCAAGTGTCTACTCACTGTACTATGGCTCAAGCCCCAGCCAATTATATCTTAATGAAGCTGGGATGTGGGGCAGGGGGAGGCAGCCTGGCTAGTATCAGGATGTGAATGCAACCCTATCTGTGTACCCCACAATTCATGAGGAAAAAACTGGGCATTTTCAGGCTTGTATTCCAAAGGACAAAATACACGTCTTTGTTATGATTTTTAATATAATGTCTCCTGTTTGCTTGTTTGTTTGGGAGGGGGAAGGGGAGTAGTCAGGGCTTATTTCTCTATGCCCTGGAAATGGTTAGGAGACTATATATGGTGCTGGGATTGAACCTGGGTTGGTGTGCAAGGTAAGTACCTTACGCCCTCAACTATCTCTCCAGACCCAAATTGGCCATTTAAAAACCAACTTTATACATTTGTAAATCACAGTGCCTAAATAAAAATAAAATCATTTGAAAAAAAATTTAAATACATACCAGGGGAGTGGGCTGGAGCAATAGCACAGCAGGTAGGGCATTTGCCTTGCACACAGTCGACCTGGGTTCGGTTCTTCCTCCCCTCTCGGAGAGCCCAGCAAGCTACTGAGAGTATCCTGCCTGCATGGCAAAGCCTGGCAAGCCACCTGTGACATATTCGCTATGCCAAAAACAGTAACAACAAGTCTCACAAAGGAGACGTTACTGGTGCCCGCTGGGGCAAATTGATGAACAACTGTGCTACAGTGCCACTGGGGGAGTGACAAATGCCTCCAGGCAACAGAAACTGAGATCTGGCCTTCAATAGGAAGCTAATCATGGTGGGAAGGGGTTGTGGTGAGAGGAAATGAGGAGGAAGATGACAGAGGGGACACTGAGACAGTGGTGGGGGGAAGCAGACCCTCTGGTGGAGGGAGTGATGCAAGAAGCCCTACCATTAACAAGACTGCAAACCATAGTGTCTAAAATAAAATAAAGCTCAAAATAAAATGATATAAAATAGATTTATGCTTGTCCCAGAGGGGTTTGCTTCCACTACATATTAAAAACCAATACTAACTACAAAGTATGGGAATATTTGGGGCTAGTTTTGCTTGTGTTCAGTGAAAAATTGACGCACATCTTCTTTTTATTTTTTAGTGTTTGCTTTTGAGCCACACCTCCAATGCTCAGGGCTTACTCCTGGCTTTGGGCTCAGAGGTCACTTCTGGCAGGGCTCCGGGGATCATGTGATCAGTCTAAGGATCAAACTCAGGGACCATATGCAGTGCTGGGGATCAAACCCAGGTTGGCTGCATGCAAGGCAAATGCTTTACCTGTTATACTATGTTTCTAGCCTAATCTTCATGTTTTAAATCAAGAGTTGCTATTCTAAAAGAAAATCTAACACATTTTCTCTATGCTCAAGAAAACCCTGATTGAAGATATTGCCGATTACTGTTTAATATATATATTTTTATTGTTGTTGTCGTTGGGTCCATACCTGGTGATGCTCAAGTCTTACTCCTGATTCTGTGCTCAGGAATCGCTACTGGCAGGCTTGGGAATCATATGGGGTATCTATGATTAAACTCAGGTCTGTTGCATACAAGGAAAATGCCCTACCTATTGTAGTTCCCTCTGGCCCTAGTTAATATTTCTTTAAAAATTTTTTTTTGCTTTTTTGGGTCACACCTCGCAATGTTCAAGGGGTTCCTCCTGGCTCTGCACTCAGGAGTTACTCCTAGCAGTGCTCAGGAGACCTTATGGGATGCTGGGGATAGAACCTGGGTTGGCCGCGTGCAAGGCAAACACCCTCCCTGCTATACTATCACTCCAGCCCTAAAAAAATTTTTTTTATTGAATTACTGTGAGATACAGTTAGAAAGCTTTCATGTTTGAGTTTCAGTCATACAATGATTGAACACCCATCCCTCTACCAGTGCACATTTTCCACCACCAATGTCCCCAGTATCTCCCCCCACCCCCCAAACTCCCCAAACCCACCAAACCCAACCCTCTCCCTGCCTCTATGGCAGACAATTTCCCCCCATAGTCTCTTTCTACTTTTGGGCATAAAGGTTTGCAATACAGATCCTAGTCAGTATTTCTTATATAAGGTTTTACATGGTTGAGTTAGCAGAATTCAAATCTAAGGGAGGAAAAAACTAGATCTTTCCTATCAATAGTTACGTTTCCTTTTTATTGATTTTTTAAAAAAAATTACATAAGAATTTTAGCATCTCCAAACTACTCTAAGAAGCTAAGAAACAAAATACATTCAAGTACATTAACACTAGTACCTGAAACTTTGAGGTAACTGTTTTGTTATTTCGCTATAATTTTACTTTTCTAATGTAACTCTGTTATCTCTGGGTATAAGTAACAATAAAATAATAAGCAGATGGGCCTGAAGAGGAATTAACAAATTAAATAATATAATTCAAGTGAAATGTGTTCATACAGGCTTTTATCTGGAAGACTGGCAGTCCCAGGGCCTCGATCTTTCCAAGGACTTGTGGCTAACTCAGCTCTTTCCCTTCTCCTTATGGGTACCCTACAATACCCAGTGCCTAACCAAGTGATAGTCTATATAGCTTTTTAAATGATCATCTTTTATTATAATGACAGGAAACACACACATAGAGACACACACACACAAACAAACATTTTTTATTCTTGGAAAGTCTGTTCTAAGAAAAGCCACTCCCCAGCAATTGCATTAGCTGGTGCACAGCTGCAGCAACCGTATCTGTTTTACTATGTGCTGAATCTCCAGTTTCCCTGGCAGCCTCTAGCATGAGCAGTCACTCCACACAGATGGATGAATGAATGAAGTACTCTTAGTACTCGCCATTGTCTCAGAGTGCATACAACAATTAAGGACAGTAACTATTATAGTTTCAAGTCCTATTTAGTCTATTCTCATTGAGGTGTGTTTATAATCAGAAAGAAAACAGAAATCAGATGAATCAGGCCAGATATCACTGCACTCAATATTGCATAGTATTTGTAAGTCCCATTTTAAAGTGTTGTTAGGATCTAAGGTTATTTATTTATAAAACTCAAAAATAGTACAGGATGTGGTGCTGCCAGCAGGTCAACCTTACCCACACGGTTAGTGCACCAGCAGCCAGATGGTGCCTTCAGGCTTCCTGATACCCCAAAATTGCTGCTGTGTGTCTGGCTGGATCCCAATAATCTGGGACCAAGTTTCCCGATAAATTAAACCAAAAGTTAGGTATGTGAGAATTACGCCCAGAAACCACCTCCCGCTCAATTACACAAGCTCATTTGTCGGCCTAGTTTCAGAGACCCATAATTTAATCTCGAAAGAGATCAAAAGCTGCAGTTAATCTTAGACCTGCACAAAGCTAAACAGACCAGGATAAATCAGAGGGGACAGGTCAGCCTGGTGCATGCCCAAGCAGAACCCCTGGTAGCCACTTACTTCCACAATCCAAAATAGTCACCATGCCCCCAACCAGACTCCATTGTCTCAGGACAAACCTCTCTGAGATATAATCTACTGAAATCCAGATATGTGATGTTTTGTGACTGAAATCTCCAGGCTTTCTCAGAGTTGGGACAGGTTACCTTCCCCCACCTCCCTGTACTTCCCAAAGCCTCAGCAGTAACGTACAAATTCCAAGGTTGCCACCCAGTTAAAAAAACTACCCCTGCTTTACTTTCCTGGTAAAAATACTGAACGCCCTAAACAAACACGATGAGCTCTTAACACCTGTATTGCAAATAACAATGCACAAAAGGAGAGAAAGAGAGAGAGAGAGAGAGAGAGAGAGAGAGAGAGAGAGAGAGAGAGAGAGAGAGAGAGAAGTGCCTGCCATAAAGGGGCTGGGGTGCGGGATGGGGGTGATGAAAGGGAAACAGGGGACACTGGTGTTGCAAAATGTACAATGTACACTAGTGGAGGGATAAGTGTTGGATCATTGTATGACTGAAACATGAACACCTTTACAATGGTCTATCTCATAGATATTCAATTAAAAAAATTACAAGGTTCTACATTTTCTGATACCACTAATGTTAAATGATGCCACCTGGAGCCAAAATAAAATAATATGAATTTTCATTTTAACCAAATTTTAAAACCTACCTTCTCTTTTAAAAGTCGTAAGAGAATCCATGGTATTATGCACAAAATATAGAGCACTATTGTATGCTGATTGCATAAGCTAAGGCCACAACAGAAAGCACCAATTTTAGCTATCTGAAAATAAAACAAACAAAAACTAAGTTAAAAATTCATCAATAATTCTAAGCACAATAATAATAAAACAACATCTCACATTAAAAACAAGCATTTCTATCACAGATCTGGTTAAAATCAATCTCTTAGATGCAAGCATTTGTTTTAATATTCATTAATATTTATTACTCTTATTATTTGAGGTGAGGGGATGTTGGGCCATACCAATCAGTGCTCAGGGCTTACTCCTGGTAGGGCTCTGGTAACCATTTGAGGTGTCAGGGACTGAACCTAGCTTGGCTACGTGCAAAGCAAACAGCTTACACTCATTTTTTTTTATTACTATTTTCCAATTTTATCAAACTACTACAGTTTGACTTTGTGTGTGTGTGTGTGTGTGTGTGTGTGTTTGTGTGTGTGGTGCTTGAGATCAAGCCCACCACACTCAGGCCGCCATGCATGAAAGGCAAGTACTCTACCTATATCCCTGACCCTGGTGCAGTTTGACCATAAGTGACAGTCTTTAAAAAGTTGTAGAAAGTTCTGCATATTAATAAGGTATTATGTGATTCTTTTATGTGTAAAATTTGTAACTGGTTTAACAATTCCTTCTCTTTTACTTTTTTCCTGTTAAATAATAATTAAAAAAACTTGTTTTTCATAAACCTATAATTCTTGTAACAAAAGTCTAAACAAAAAATAAACTTTAATAATATCACTGTGTGTTTATGAAGACCACAGATCATTCATAATTTGTTCTGTATCCTTTTGGGGAGAGGGTTGGGTCACACCTGGCAGTGCTTGGAGGCTACTTCTGGATTTGTGTCCTAGGGTTACTCCTGGCAGTACTCGGGGGATCATGTTTTTCCAGAGATCTAGTGGGGCTGGACACAAGCAAGACAGGAGTTTATCCCCTGTACTATCTCTCTAGCTCCTGTTTCCTAACTCTTTAATAATGCAGGCTCTGTTATAGTAAGATGAATTAGCATTTTCCAAAACATGGACTATAAGCTCTTAGAAGTCAGGTTTTCTCCATATTTCAAAAAATTTGACTTGGAATCTATGGTGGTTTCTTCTGAACTATTTTGCTTCTATATTTAATTCTCTTATTTTAGTTTGCAAAGTATTTTAATTTTTATCTTTTACAGGTAATTAATTTAAGGTTTGATATTTAATAGACAAACACACACATAAATACATTTGTGAAAATAGCTAAAAAGTTCTGTCCATCTCACAGGACATAAATGGGGGTTTCATAACCTCTCTTTCCCTGAAAATAGCTTCTGGTCTCTACGGGGGAAATAACAATGGCATGTTTTATAAAGGATCTCAAGGGTTACAGCATTAGAACTGAAAACATTTTCTCTTGCAACAGGCCTAAATTACCTAGGCAATAGTCAGAAGGTACTGATTCTGAGTATTTTCTGATTATCAAAGTAATCAGAAATTTAGATAGTCACGGGTACCTAAATCAAAGTTTAAAAAGAGAAATAGAGTGGCTGACTATTAATTAAAACAAAAAAGTCACTTCACTTTGATCAAAATGGGTTACCTTTGATCTTTCTTCTGCAGTAGCTGCCTCCTCAAAATGTACAGTGAGAGCCATAAGCAGCCCCACAAACAGATTGTTCAAGCTAAAAACCTCTGCCGTAATGGACCACTGCCATGTTAGACGAGAAAATGAAAACACCCCCGCAGCAAGGATTCCTCCAGCATAGGAGCCAGAAAGCCTGCAAATACAGATAACATGAAAGCTTCTTTCCCAATGAAAGAACCGATTTTATTTTCCTCTTTATAAACTGTAACAGCAGAAATGATGACAGCCACCCAGCTCTAGCCTAACACATAAGATGGTTAATACATTACTTCATGTGATAATTTCTTTCAAACAATTTTAATTAGGAAGTCTATATATTAACCTATCAACAAACAAGTGAGCAGACCTACTTGGTATCCTATGGACGGAATATGGTTTAGTTCTCAGATGTACCCTTTAGGATTCAAGCCAGTTCAGACAGTCTGAAGAGACAGTAGTAGCTAGAGAGATAACAAACCTGTGTCATTTTTTTTTTTACTACATCTACAAAGAATGAAGGTCTGGTTAAGAGTGAAATGTTAAAGAGCAAATATAAATGAAATAGCAAAATGCCTAATCGGGAACACTCATTCTCACTTCCTAATAATGGACTTCATAATAGTCCACTCTAAGCACCTTTTATGTCTATCGACATATAGTACAGTAGAAGCTCCATTATAATACTTGGTAATTTTAAGATCTTATAAACTAAATTATTCATTTCTAAAAATTTTTTTATATTAAGCCTGGGTTTAAAATGTGTGTGTGTGTGTGTGTGTGTGTGTGTGTGTGTGCGCGCGCGCGCGCGCGCACGCATATCTGGTTTGCAGTAGCAGGGATTGAACCCAGGGCCTCACACGTGGAAAGCATGTACTGTATAAAGCACTCAAGTTCTTGTCCTTAGGTCAAGACTGAAAGCAGAGGGCCAAATTCAGTATAAACCTTATTTCAGAAAATGAAGGGAAGAATAGGAAAGCTGGGGCATGGGGATTAAGTAGGATGTTAAAGAAAGGAGAAAAACTTTCTCCTTTTACATTTTCTTAACTAGGGAAATTGGTGATCACTTTACATTTGGTTTAAGACATGCACAATGATCGCAAAGGGCTTGGGAGGGGCAGGACGTTTGAGTAGATCTTCTGTATATCCTGTTTGCATTTATTGGGCCTATTCTCCTGATACTTTTCTCAGGGGACAGTTTCTTTCTAATCTCACCTTTTCTATCTCCCTCCTGTCCTTATATCATTCTGTTACTGTTTACTCTACTACTAATACATTCTTTGTGATGGAAGGATAATACAAGGGTTAAGGTGTGTAGCTGCATGTGATCAAGCCTGGTTCAATCTCTAGCATCACACAGTTCCCTGAGCATCACCGATGTGATCCTGGAAGCCTGGATCAACTCCAGGTGGCTCAGGTGATCTCTGACACTGCAGAGTCGGAGTAGCACTAAGCAGGGCTCTTGAACTCCTGCAATGATACATTAAACCACCAGCCTGGAGGGGATCCCAAGCTTCCTGAGGATTGCTTGGTAGCCCACAACCCTAATTTTTTGTTTAAAAGAGTAATGGGAATGTGAATTCCAGTAACACAGAAAAACAAAACTCACACCTATAAATCAATTTCTCATCACTAAACGACAACAAGTTAGGTATTTCAGATCAACCAGGAATCAGGAATCTTAATTCAGGCACATGATCTGAAACTTGTAATGCATTTGAATATACTGTAGCATATCCAACCAAAACAACTGTCTACTCCACTATTAATCTAAAACTGTGAAAACCGAAGCTATCATCAATCATCAAATTTTAATGTGTTAAGAAATTCAGAAAGCATTACTGAATAATAATTGTGACTAATTATCATGATATTAGATTATTCTAAGTCATTATTTCTTAACTCAACTGTTATGGAGTAATTTGATGGCCTTTAATCAACCATCATAGAAAAAATTTAAAATAAATTTTAGTGTCACCAGAATTTTTCCCTTTGAGTTTCTCTTTGCAATTCATTTGGCTTTTCCTCCCCTTATTTTTTAAAAATAAAAGTTTCCTGTTTCTTTCAGAATGTCACATTTTCCAAGTGACACTGATTCAAAACAGTAAAGTCTTCCCTCCCTCCCTCCCTCCCTCCCTCCCTCCCTTCCTTCCTCCCTCCCTCCTTCCCTCCCTTCCTTTCTTCTTTTTTCTTGTTTTTTGTTTTGAGGACACACCTAGCTGTGTTCAGGACTTATTCCTGGTTCTGCTCTCAGGGATCACTCCTGGAGGGCTCAGCAGACCATAATGGGTGCCAGAGACAGAACAAAGGTTGACCAGGTGTGAGGCAAACACCTAATCCCCTATATTATCATTCTGGCCCCCTATAGTCAGTATTTCTTTCTAAATTACTTTCCAAATAAACCCCTTCTGATTTCCATTCCTACTGCCTCAGATATGTTACTATCTTTTTCAATGGCACCTGAAACTGAACCAAGGGCCTCATATAAGCATGGCCAAGTAATGACTCTGTGCTCAGGGGTTACTCCTGGCAGTGCTGGTGAACTATTTGCAGCAGGAGAGATCAAACCTGGCAGTCCATCTTACGCACCTGTACTATCTCTCTGGCTCTTTAGTTATTTTAATGGTTTCTTGTCTTCTGGTTTCCAAGCTATTTCACAATATAACATTAGATCAAACGTTCTAAAACATTTATGACTACTTAGCTCCAAAATTCAAAAAATCTTCATTGCCTATGAGATAAATCCTAAAAGAGCCCATCTAAAATCCAGGCTTCCAATAAACCGAATGATACCTAGCAGTAATTACCAACATTATCATCTCCATAAATTAGTCAAGCTGATCAAAGTTAGGCACGTGCTTAACTTGAGAATCAAAATAATTATTGCAATGGACAGTGACCCAGTGAATAAGCAAAACTCTGTGATTAAATCTGCAGTGATATAAACATAAAAATCTAAAACAAGCCAATTCCTAAAGCCTTATTTTTGCTCATACTGTAAGCCTCAATTTATTATCCTCTTTGATCTTTACTATTTATTCAAACTTTACTCTTTTCTCAAATTTCTTCCCTTGTATCAATTGTCATTCCGTTGTCAATTTGCTCTAGCAGGTGCCAGTAACGTCTACATTTGTCCCTGTCATGTGCTAGTGTAGCCCAATGGCATCTGCTCGCTGAAGGAACACGAAGAACCTAAACCATTTGTTCAGGGTCTTGACGAAGAAGTCTGATCATTTTGTAGGTGGACGGCCACCTTTTGACATCCCTTGGAATCCAGTCGGTAACAGCTCTAGTCCAGTGGTCGTCTCTAAATCACATTATGTTTCCAGCCCATCTGATTTTCTACACCTTAGCAAATAAGACAGTGTCCTTGATTCTCGATTGTCAACAGAGTACAGAACTCTGGATTCCTTCTCTCACTTGAGTGAAGTGTGATACTCCAAGCATAGCTCTTTTAATTCCTCTTTGTGATACCCGAATAGCGTTCTTGTCCTGTTTCTGTAGGGTCTAGGTCTCTGAGGTGTGTGGTAGGGCAGGAACAATGGTAGCGTGAAAAAGATGTTCTAACACCATGTACAAAAGTAAGATCAAAATGGATTAAAGACCTCAACATCAGACCAGAAACCATAAGGTACATTGAAGATAAAGTTGGCAAAACCCTCCATGACATTGAAGCTAATGGTATCTTCAAAGATGCCACGCCACTGGCCGAGCAAGTGAAAACAGAGATAGATAAATGGGACTATCTTAAGCTAAGAAGCTTCTGCACCTCCAAAGAAACAGTGACCAAAATACAAAGACAGTCTACAGAATGGGAAAGGATATTCACCGAATACACATCTGACAAGGGGTTGATATCCAGGATATACAAAATACTGGTTAAACTCCACAAGAAGAAAACATCCAACCCCATCCAAAAATGGGGCAATGAAATGAACAGAAACTTTCTCAAAGAAGAAATCCGAATGGCAAAAAAGCACATGAGAAAATGCTCTACATCATTAATCATCAGGGAGATGCAGATCAAAACCACAATGAGATACCATCTCACACCTCAGAGACTGGCCCACATCAAAAAGAACAAAAGCAACCGATGCTGGCGTGGATGTGGCGATAAAGGGACACTCCTTCACTGTTGGTGGGAATGTCCACTGGTTCAGCCCTTCTGGAAAACAGTATGGACGATTCTCAAAAAATTAGAAATTGAGCTCCCATTTGACCCAGCAATACCACTCCTGGGAATATATCCCAGAGAGGCAAAAATGTATAGTCGAAGTGACATCTGCACTTGTTTGTTCATTGCAGCCCTCTTTACAATAGCCAGAAACTGGAAGAAACCTGAATGCCCAAGAACAGATGACTGGTTAAAGGAACTTTGGTACATCTACACAATGGAGTACTATGTAGCTCTTAGAAAAGATGAAGTCATGAAATTTACATACAAGTGGTACAATATGGAAAGTATCATGCTAAGCGAAATGAGTCAGAAAGAGAGGGATAGACATAGAAAGATTGCATTCATCTGGGGGATATAAAGTAAGAAAGTATGAGATTAATACCCAAGAATAGCTGAGATCAGCACCAGGAGGATTACTCCATAACTTAGAGGCCAGCCGGGTATCCTAGAGGAAAGGGCTATTCAGATAGAGAAGGGAGCACCAAATAAAGGATGTTTGGAGGATCCTCCCAGGAGGGGAGATGCATGTCGAAAGTAGACTATGGACTGAACATGTTTGCCACTCAATGCCTCTTTTGCAGACCACAACACCCAAAAGGAGAGAGAGAACACAGGGGATTGCCCTGCCACAGAGACGGGGGGATGGGGGGATGGGGGTGGGAGGGATATTATCCATGGTGGTGGAAAATGGGCACTGGTGGAGGGATGGGTATCTGATCATTGTATAATTGAAAACAAAGCACAAAAAATTGTAAATCTACAACTTTAAAAAAAATAAAATAAAATAAAGGGGAAAAAAAAAAAGAAAAAAAAAAAAGATGTTCCCAGAGCCGGAGTTTCTTCATCCTCTTAACAACTTCTTCGACGCTCTTGAATCTGTTCCAAGCTGCTCTCTTCCTCCTGCGCAGTTCTGATGCCAAGTCATTCCTCATGTTGAGTTCTCAACCCAGGTACACATAGCTGCTGCATTCGAAGATGGT